AATCTGACTGCTCAAGTAGAGTAATATAGTGATTGTCTTGTTGTAAATGATTGATTTTCTTAGTCTAAGGTCTTCCATGTTGTAACTTGGGTCAGACTTTCCTTCCCTTGGAAGGCGGGGAAAATGTCCCCTGTATCACATGCCACATTGTGTTTATCCATCCACCTATGGACGGAGGTGGAGTTTCTTCCACAGTTTGGCTATTGTGAATAATGTTGCAATGTGTGTGGGTGCACAAACACCTCCTGGAAACCCTGCTTTCAATTCTTTTGGGTACACACGTGGAAGCAGGATACTGGATCATGGGATCCACCCTTGATCATTACATAGCAATGTTTTACACTTATGTACATTGATATAAGCATATATAGAGATATAGAGATATGTTGTTTAAACTCACCAGCAATGATCCCTCAACCTACAATGGCTCTGAGGTCATCGCCCCTTCTAACCATGTGGACAAGAGGTAGCTCGGGGAACCCCTCAGCATGAATCTGTCATGTGCCAACACTGAGTTGGGGACAGCCCCACGCTCACACGCTGCCCAGGTCAGTCCAGGCCTCGCTGCAGACAGCCCCTGCACGTGGAAGGGAGACATCTGAGAGAGACACTGAGAGAAACAGCCAGCCTGGAATCGACGTCCAGGAAAGGGAAAAGGAAAAGGAAAGGTCGTCCTTCCTCACCGGAACCATCCTCTTATCTTCATCCAAGGTGACTCCTGCCTCCAGTGAAGACAACGCACGTCACTGAATGATGTGCCCCCTTTGACAACAGAACCATTACCTGTTGACAGCCTCTCCCAGGGAGTACATGGCACTGTGCATGCGCCAAGGGTGCAGAGAAAATTCTGGCCATCTTCTCCTGTAACAGCACCTTCTCTTTCTCCTTGGCTGCCTCTCTGCCCATGTCTTCCCCCACTCACAGGGGTTCCCCAGGACCTGGTCCTCAGGCTGGACTCCTCCTCTTCACCCCTCCAAAGGCCCATCTGACATTCCCAAGCCAGCAACTTCATCCAGGTGTCCAGTCCAGCTCTCTCCTCTGAGTCCTCCCCGCCTCCTTGATTCTCTAGGAGAATCCCGTCCCCTGAGCAAGTTCCAAGGGGAGCTCTTCTTCCCTCCACATTCAGCCCCCCATCAACATCCTGCCTCTAAAGACACCAACTGTCTTCTGGTCACCCATGTGACACTTTGTCATCTTTACCCTCTCCTTCCCTTTCCTCACTGCCTGGGCAACATTTCTGAGCCTCATGTCCATCCCTCTCTGCGGCTGGCACTACCTCTTCTTACCTAAAGCACCAGAAGTGACTCCCTTCTCCAGCTCAGCCTCCCCTGCCTGCCACCTCTCAATGCACAATCCCAGAATATCATCCTGATAGGTCCCTCTTACCAACCGAGGCCCCAGCTCCCTGAGCCCACAGCCCCAGTCTCTGGCCCCCATCCCCTCCTGTGAAAACCCACTAGTCTTATCTAGAGCGTTCTAAAGTTTGTACTGAGATTTACCTTCTCTGATGTTCGGGTTGCCTGGCAGATTTCAATGGCTCCAGGGTGAGATGGGGCTCCCCTGCCTTCCACTTCCCTCTGCTAAACCTAGCTCCATGCCTGGCCCAAGGTAGCATACTGCAAATATTTATTGGCCTGGCTTTATCTGAGCAGCACCTGTACTGAGTGAAATGGTGGCGGGGACAAGGCCACAAGGCTGGGCGTTGCTGCCATCAGTGTGGTTTTCTGGGTCATAATTTGAAACAGGGTGTTCTTGAATCTATGTAATGATGTGCCCATTAAAACTCCTTGTAAGAAGACCTTGTTTTAATGATGAATTCTGGGAGGGGGCGCTTCTCCAAACCCAGGGCTGACAGGGGCATGCTGGAGTGCTGGAAAGTACTAGCGGCCACAGGAGTGGGTGGTTGGGCCAAGTCTGAGCCGCAGAGAGACCACTCCTATCACCGGAGGCCACCGTTTTTAGTATTGCCACCAGGGAGCGCATTGACTTCAACTGCGCTCCTGTCCCTGGCAATAGGCGCCGAAGGCAATTTCTTCCTCCACCTGGGTTCCCTCACAGACTTGAATCCAGACATCCTGGCACAACTAGAAACCAGCAAACTCCCAAGTGCTGAAAAAATCCTGATTACTAAAGTCAGAACTGCCAGCCTGGCACCTTCAGGAGGACCTGGATGAAAACCAGGCAATGCTAGTCCTAGCCCCAGCTAGAGGGGCTAAGGCAGTGCAGGTGCGCACACACACCCCCAAGGCCAGCAGCAACTCCACAAGTCTTGTCTTGCGCTTTCTAAATCTTGTGTTGGGATTGAACTTCCTGATTTTTGTGAGTGACCCTCCAGACTTTAAATGGCTTTGGGGATCCCAGATCCAGATGGCAAAGAGCAACACTGGGGCCTCCCTGGTGGCGCAGGTGGTTGAGTGCTGCACTGTGAAACTGTCCGCGGCCTTTGCATTGTGGGTTTGATCCTGGCCGGCCGCGGAGATACCCACACGGTGCGGCAGACCTCTCCTGTCTTGCCCACTGCTCCCCTCAGCAGTGTGTTTCAGTTGTCTCCCTGTTCTGTTCCCCACTCTGTCTCTGATGAATCCTCTCACCCTCCCGCGCATCTGGCCTGTGCCCTGGTTCTTATATGCATGAATAAGCAAATCTTAAAAAAAAAAAAAAAAAAAACAAAAAAACAAAGAAACAGCAAACCTGGAAGAAAGCTACTTTCCTTTCTGTGTCTAGTCTATGCAGTAGTGTCACCAAGCAGCTGTATGAGCTAAAAGACCAGCTCCCAAGGGTGGCAGGGGTCTGTGAGAGGGGTCAGTGTGCTCCAGAAGTGGACAAGCTGGCAATCTGAGCCAGGGAGGGAGGGAGGGGCTTCCACTTAGCACTAGAGCACTAAGCTCCACTCTGCAGAGATGTGACCCAGAGCAGGGACTGGGAACAAGAGGTCAAGTGGATGGAGGGTCAGGAATGTGGCAGAGAATGGAGGCAGGAGAGGAAAGAGGACCCGAGAGCCAGGCTGAGCCAGCCACCAGCTATGTGACCTTGGGCTGAAGCTCAGGGTCTGCTTCTTCATCCACAAACCAGGCAAGAGCACCTGCCCTGTATGCTCAGCAGGGCCTGTCTGGGGATTAGTCAGGACACTGGGTGTGAATGGACGCTGTGAGCTGGTAAAGCTCTGTCAGGCGGAGGGGTTATTCTTCTCATTGTCAGAGAAGAATTGACATTGTTTCATGTCTGCTGACTGCTGAGCTGCATCCGGCCATTAACTTGAGGTTGTGACTAATTGTTTTAAACGAAAAAAATAAGATTTACTTAATGTTTCATGAGTCACTCAAGTGAGCATCTCTGTACTTTCCAAGATGTGGCCTGTCTAATCATGGCCAAGGAAAGAGGTCAGGTGCCAACTCCCTCCTTCCTCAGAGCCCATGTGCACTTTGGAGCCCACAGCAGTGAGTGGGGTTAAAGGTTGCCTCTAGGGGAGCCAGGATGGATGAGGGATGTAGGGGCAGGATGGGCACCGTGCAGGGTATCTATGATCCGAGCAGACTGGGCAAAGGAGTCCGGGAACCCTCGGTGGCTTTCTCAGGCTTTTATTGAGCTTTACATGTAGTGTGGCAAACAGGTACACACAGCAGACAGGGGTGCCGGGGGCCTGGCCCCCAGCAAGTCTTCACTCTGGGTTTCTCTGCCTTCTTTCTCCCCTTCTCACTCCTGTCTCTCTGACCTGCTTCTGCTTCTCTTGGTGACTATCTGAATACTCCTCCCACGGCCCACAGAAATAAATAACACAACAATGTAACAACTGCAGGTGCCCTATCAGGCAGGGCAATCCTAATGGTGGGAGGGCAGAAAAGCCTGAAAACTATTTACCCTACAAGGGAGGAAGCCCTGCATGGGCTCTCTCTCTGACAGTGCTGGGCACCACGTAGCAGGCACAATGCAGAAGCCAAAGGGCTGTGCCAACAGCAGACTGTGAGTCTGTCCCAGATGCTGGTTCAGTTGAAATCCCGTGGCAGATATGCTGCCAGGGAGACTCTGCACAGGTGGATGGCATTGAGCTGGGCCTTGGACAAGCTGTAGCATTCTGCCCTGTGATAACACTGCAGCATGGGCACTGGCTAAGTAAAGATGTCAGAGAACACCTAACAGGGACCCTGCCCTCAAGGAGCTTATAGCCACTTGAGAATAGAAAAATGGAGAGCATGGAAGCCACGAACATTATGTGACTATAGTCAAGAGCCAAGGAGGGTGTGTGTGGCGGGGGACAGGGAGGAGAGGAAGGGCTGACGCTCACTCCTCTGTGCCTGTGCAGGCTCATCTCTCACAGGCTGTTTCCTAGTCTCCTCTAATAGGGCCCCAATCCCCTGTAACACCCACCCTCTAATCCAGAGTCCACACCACCAGTTAGACCCCGAATGTCCATGAAATTGCAATCCTCAGCCCTACTGCCTAGACGAGGAAGTCCAATCCCTAGACTGGCAACCAAGACCATTTGATGTGGCCAACATTTCCAGCAACCAGGACCCGCCATCACTTTATACACTTGCCTAGCCTGATCCCTCTGCCTAGAATGCTACTGAAAGTGGCTCTGGGGTAGCCCCCTAGTGTTATGATCTTAGGCTCACTGTTTAGCTTTTTCGTGTCTCAGTTTCCTCATCTGCGAAATGGTGATAACAGAGCCTACCTTCTAGGACTAGTGTGCAGGTCAAACAAATTCAAGTAAGTAGAGTTTAGGTTAGCTCCCAGCATAGAGAACATACTGCAAAAATATTGTTAAGAGTATCAATGGAGGGCCTCCCCGGTGGCGCAGCGGTTGAGCGCTGGGTTGCGAGGCTGCCCGCGGCCTCTGCGGCGCCGGTTCGTTCCCCGGCTGCTCCCCGGCCACCGGAGGAGGGTCCCACATGGCGCGCAGACCTCTCCTGCCGCCCGCTGCTCCCCTCAGCAGTGTACTTCGGTCCTTCTGCCTGCTCTGCTCCCCGCTCTGGCTCTGGTGAATTCTCTCACCCTCCCGCGCTTCTGACTGTACCCAGTGCATGTATAAACAAAACAAACAAACAAGCAGACAAATAAATAAATGGAACACGCCTCTATTAAAAAAAAAATTTAAAAAAAAAAGAGTATCAATGGATTGAAAGTCTCCAGGGTTTAAGAGCAATATCATTTGCATGAAGAAGAAATTGCTCCTCCTCTGGGTTTGTGGGTAAATGTGCCACAGTATTTATTTCATTCCCCAGTGATAGAAATTGAATATGGTGTTGTTGGACCTGAGAGACACCCACCCAGCTCCGAGCAGATGCTCAGTAAAGATAATATGTGGGTCTGTGCTGGGTACAGTTGAGACTCCTTGGACACAGACCTTACTTGTGGTTGCCATGGTGGGATGAACCAGGTTGTGATGTGGTAAGAAGCAGCCCTCAAATCTCAGCAGCTTCAGACACCACAGGTTTATTTCTCTGCCACACTAGAGGTGCTCACTGGTTGGTGTGGATGGGACCCAGGCTAACAGAGCCTCCACCCTCTGGGACACCCGTCACGTGTGGCAAAGGAAAAGGGGTGTGGCAAAGTCCACACCAGCTTTGAAAGACTTCTACCCAGAAGTGGCATTTTACTATCTGAAGCTAACCAGGTGGAAAAGTACAAGTCCACCACACGCTTGTGAATCAGGATATTGGCAAACAGCCCTAACAGCCAGAACAGTAGCCCAGTTCCTCATCTGATCATCACACAGCTCTAAGCACTTCCTGGCATCCCCTCCTCCTCCCTTAGTGGTTTAGTGGGACCCCTGCAGCTGGACTCAACCGCTGCAGAGGCTCTGCTCTGAGCCACGTGCCATAGACACAGCAAGACTGTCAGCTAACAAGCATGGACAGTGCAAGGTTCAACCCTCAGAAGCAAAGTGGAAACGTGGTCTGGAAAAGCGACCAGAGTTCGGGCACCATACTGGGCTCTGGCCAGGGCTGCCTGGGCGTATAGGACCTCCACACGGTTCCTAATCCTATATTCAGACTCCATCCACAGCACCTGAGAATGCAAGACAGGCTGCCTCTCTGAAGTTTGTCCCTCCTGACAGGCATGGCTGTGTCCTTCAGCCTCTCCTCAGGTGCCTTCTCTCTCAGAAGGCCTTCCACAGAGGGGTACCAAAACGATGGCCTCTTAACACCCAGCTGAGAGAAATATGTGATTTCCTGTATGATCTGCAGCCACTTGTTGGGGTAGAACTGTGAGCTAGGGTTCTTCTACAGGTCAACCAACAGTTGGCTCTCAGGGCCATGGCCAACCTCCCGACCCCAGTTCTGCGACTATGCAGTAATTTACAGGTTTCTCAAAACCAAAATATGTCTCATTAAAGGGACAAGGCTCTGGAAGAATGAGCTTTAGTATATGAAATTCAATCAGCACATTCAGACAGATTAATTGAAGAGCTTCCAACAATCACATAATTCATAAAATGGCATTAACAATGAGACAACACGTCTGCTTCCCAAGCATAATTTATCCAGGTGCCTCAGAGAGGCATGCCTGAGCCTGGGCTCACCCTTGAGAGTCTGGGTGCAGACACTCTCCCAGAAGTTATTCCTTCATCATCCATACCAGCTGCAAGAAGGTTTAAGATGCCCTAGACCTCCGACAGGTATGTCGGCTTGAGTGGATGTTTCTGTGAGGCAGGAACATATGATGGGCCAGCAAGGCTCACACTAAGAGAAGAGCAGGGCCTGCAGGAGAAGGGATTCTCTCTAAGTGGGCCACCACTTTGGCAGGAGTATGCCCAATCTGCACCCCTCCTCTTGGAAGCTTCTGGGAGATCTGAGGAGCCCAAAATACCCTCCTGCACAGACACTCCTGGAAAAGGGCTCTGCTGGTACCTGGACGAGCTCTTGGGGTCAATGTGCCTGAATGGTGGTGGCCACACAGCATCCATCACCCTTGCCAGTCAGGCCATCTGCCTTTCCTTCAATACCACGTGCCTTCACATCAGCAGGCTGTGAGTACCTAAGGCAGCCCCAGTGCAGCAGGCTCTCCTTGGGGCAGGAGGAGGTAGGGACACACAGAAGGAGGACACATAGCCCTGCATCCTCATCTGAGCCAGCCTGCCTCAAGACCTTGGTCATCGCCTATCCCAGCTAACCAGCTGTGGCCAGTGGGGGATGAGATGGGCCACAGGGCTTCAGGGTCGTATGTTACGATCCAGTAGAGAAGGACTTGCCCACAAGTCCATGTCCATGTGACCCGAGTCCAGGTTTCATGTCCATAAAAACAATTGATCCAGAAGTCAGATACAGAGTGAGGGCAGGTCTTCTTTTCGTACTTGGAGTCTACAGTCACCAGACATTTTAGTGTCTGAAGTTCACATTTATTTTCTCTTTGTCTACAGGTGAATCACTGGTGAGCCTACTGACCAGGATGCTGGACAACTGCTCCTTTTCTTTGATTCTCTCTCTTTTTTCCATATTTACATTTGCAACCAGCCCCAGGTGAGTTTCATTCAGAAGGTACTGACTTGGGGTTAGTTTGATGACACTTGAGTGTCCCCTAAAAGTAAGTTCTTGCTCAGAATGGTGTCCCATGAGCAGGCATTGCTTAAAAGGACACAGTTCTCCAGGAAATGGTAACCCCAGATCGTGTCAGGAAGGTTAATTTGATAAAATCAGCAGCAGTCCTTTGACCAAAGAATTTACTGCCTAAGGCCCCTGCTTGAGGCTTCTCTGGAGCGTGACCAGTGCTGCTCCAACAGCTGCATCCACATCTTGCCCAAAGGACACTGGGAAGGGGAAAGCCCTCTGCACCTCTTGCTTCAGTACTTCATTCCTGGACAGTGCGCTTCCACTCCCGATCACCCTCTCCACGCCCCACTCTTTGAGCTGCTGAAAGGGAAGCATGGAGTGTAGGTTCTGGACAATGCCTCGGCACAGGGCCCGTGTCACATGCCCCAGGGAGAGGTCAGAGGAGGAGATTCTGGTCACTGATGCTAGCTGGTCTGGCAGGTGCCTCTCGCCCAACACCGTTGGGGTGATGGTTAGGCAGGTGTCTCTCTGCTGTGTTGCCGCCTGGATCATGCGTGAATACACCAAGGATTCTTCAACCTCCAGGCCTGCCAGGAACAGAGAACACCTGTGTGAGCTCATACATCTTCTCACTGCTGGAGGAGACAGTGTAGAATCCCCAGGGGGCAGGTCTATTTGCTGCTTCCCCTGTGCAAGTAGGAACAATCCCCACTTGAGGTTGCCTGCTCGGACTCACAGAGTCTGGCCAGCTGTGCTCTGCCCCAGGTCCCAGTCAGCTCTCACTGCAGACCCGAGCCCTGACCTTAGGAAGAGATCCTATAGGTGCTGCTATCAGCCCTAATCATACCACTATGGTCCAAGATCCACTGATCAGGCTATACTCATCAGTATCATCACAGCTGCACCTAGACTTATTAGCAGCATCACAGAAATTCCAGCATCACACGGCTGATCATAGTCAAGGCCACTCCTCGGCAGAGGTTGAGAACTACCAGTCTAGAGCAGTGCTTCTCACATATGAGTAGGAATCTATTAAAATTAGGGATCTATTAAAATTTAGCTCTGGCTCAGTGTGTCTGGGGTGGGCCCTAGAATCTGCCTGTCTGCAGCTCCCAAAGGAAGCCCGAGCCGCAGGCGAAAAGCCACACTTTTTGAGTAGAAATGTCTAGACCGTTGCTTATCAACAATCAAGGATATAAGCATCACCTGGGCAAGTTTTATAAAATGCTATGCTTAGGCCTCAGCCCCCAGGCCACATAATCAGCATTTCTGCCAGTGGGAGTATGACATCAACATTGCTTTCAAAGCTCTACAGGTCTTTTCAGTGTGTGGCCAGCGCTGAGAACCACCGATCAAGAGTCACTGTGGAGCATATCATTGGCACATTGAACTGACACTAACTCAACTGTACACATTCAGGAGAAAGACAACTTAAATAGCATAGGCAGGAACCTCCCTGGTGGTGTAGGAGTTAAAGTCAGTGCTAATGATGGAGGACAAGAATAGAAAAACTGAAAGGAGGTGAGCATAAGACCAGAAACAAGGCTCACAAAATGCCAAGAGCTGGAGGTGGGGCTACAAGGGGTTAGCATGGCCATTGACCCAGCTATAGAAACCAAGATCCTTAGGCACCAAAGCCTAGAATACAAAGCTTAAGATCCAAGCAGGTATCAGACTGCTGTAGGGAGTGTCTAGAGCACAGGCCCAAGGGTAAAGATATGAAGATGGAGCCCAACAGACCCCAAAAGTAAAGATACGGAGATTGAGTCCATTGTGGAATCTCCAGTCCCTTTCAGATTCTATCCAAAGAATAATTATCCAAAATCAGCAACTAAGGGAAGGCTCACAAGGCATGACTACAGCTCGAGTTAGATCCCAGGCCAGGGAGCTAACCCCCATGGTGCAGCAGACCTCTCCTGCCTCACCCACTGCTGCCCTCAGCAGTGTATTTCAGTAGATCCGCCTATTCTGTTCCCCACTCTGTCTCTGGTGAACCCTCTCACCCCCCACACCCCCGCAATTCTGGCCTACACCTCAGTTCTTGTAAGCACAAATAAAAATACATCTTTATAAATAAATATCATAGGCAACTTGTCAAAATTTGATCAGCAGGATTCTGATTAAGTATGACAGAATGTGACTTTCCTATCAGAAATGTAATTTTTAAAAAGAAAAATTGACAAAGATAAAAAGCACAGGAGAGGGAAAAATAATGAGCAGGAGACTTGGCACATATTTGGAAGGCTGGAGGCAGATACAGAATGAAAATTGATGTCAGAGCAGAGGCCAAGAAAGTACAGGCTAGGGATCAGCAGAGGGAGACGCTGACAAAGTAGAAGCACCAAGTACCTATTTGGCAATGAAGACTGGAGCCTGGCAGGCCCAAGGTACTTCGGAAGGCTGAGATAACAGCAGAACTGATACCAAAGCCTGGTGAGCTCCTCTGGGCCCACATTGCCAGGGCAGCTGGCCACCCACCTGTGATAGACCTTCACGCATAAAGTTCTCAGCTTATATTTCCAGAGGATACAAAACTCAGGCAGGAGCAAGGCTCCAGAAGCTCTGCAGACCCAACTGGGCTCCCCACTCCCAGTTGCACCCAGAAGGGAAGTGCACAGGGCTCAGGGCCCAGAACCAAATGCTTCACCACCCTCAGTTCCATGCCTGTGGGTTACACAAGCTAGTTCCCCAAACTGACAAGAGAACTCTGACAAGAGACAAACTGACTCTCTCATTGCCACATACTGCTTCAGTTAAATCATGTCCCCAAAACAGAGCAAAGATTGGAGGGTTTTTGTTTTTTTTTTTTTTTTTTAAGCACATACAACAGCTGGAGGAGTTAAAGATGACTACCTGTCGTGCGGACTGGGGTGGAAAGGGTTGGAATAGGGACTACTGCCTTTCTCTATGAATTCACTTGTACTATTGAATTTTCTAATGTTTTATTGAGGTAACATTAGCTTACAACACTTAACAGGTTCCACGTGCACAGCATTTTAATCCAACATGTTCTGTATTATGTTCACCACCAATACTACTAAATTTTTTTTAAATAGATCATGTGCTTGGTGAACACCCTAGTACGTGTGCACAAATACATAAATATGTAGATCTGAGCCCCTGAAGGGGAACTGCTGAATCAAAAAAAAAGGCTCATTATATTCTTCCTTAGAAGTTGTACCAATTTCTATCAGAGAAATATGTGGGAGTGACTCTCCAAAGCAGTGTGTTAGAAAATTCTCAAAGAGTAAATGTAGAATGTTAAACCATCAGACTAATGTAAAAAAGGGAAAGGAGATTTTTAAAAAAGAAAAAAAAAAATCAAGACAACTAAAAAGCAGAGAGACCAAGGCTAAACGCAATGCACTATCCTAGAATGGATCCTAGAAAAGAAATAGGACATTATTGGTAAACTGTTGAAAGACAAACAAAATCTACAGGGTTTTGTTTTTTTGGGTTTTTTTTTTTTCTTCTAATTATGTGCTTCTATCTCTGTAATAAAAATTCACAAAAATATGTAGGGAGGGCCTCCCCTGGTGGTGCAGGCGGTTGAGCGCAGCACTGTGGAGCTGTCCGCAGCCTGTACAGTGCCAGTTTGATCCTGGCCAGCAGGTGAGGGTCCACATGGCACGGCAGACCTCTCCTGTTGTGCCCTCTGCTCCCCTCAGCAGTGTATTTCTTCAGTCTGCCTGTTCTGCTCCCCACTCTGGCGAACTCTCTCACCCTCCCATGAATGTGGCCTGTACCCCAGTTCTTGTATAAATAAATAAATGAACCTTTAAAAAAATATTTAGGGAAATGTTAAAATATACTCAGTGTTCTTCCTCATTAGGGGACATTTGGGCCTTGACCCGGGTCTTGGGGAGCACCTGAAAGAAGTTCACCAGCTGGAGGCCTGAGGGATCAGCCTTCCAGCCCTGGCCCCGTGTCCCTGGGCTCACCACTTCACCTGGATCTGTCAGTGGGGATTAACACAGGCAGAGACATCAGGGAGTTGCTAAGAGCTTAGAACCATAGAAGGTCAGAGCTGAGAAGACACAGAGGGGAAGGGACTGGCCAATGACATATAATGACTTGTGGACAGAGATAGGAACAGAAGCCACTATACTGGGCTGCATCCAGGACACTGTGTTTATTTAATAAGTGCTTCTATGCCACTTGCTAGTGGCCAGACACTTTCCTAAGTGTTTTGCAATGTTAACTCACTCAATCCTGAGGTCCTTTGAATAGGTACTAGGATGATCCCTGTTTTAGATGAAGGCAGTGAAACACAAAGGGGTTAAGTCACCACCTGCCAAAGGTACACGGAAAGTGAGAGCTGGGATGCAAACCCAGGCCAGCTGGCTCAGACTCCCTGCTCTAAGCTGGAGGCAGAACACCCTGTTTCCAACCTCTGGAACGTAATGCAGACATGGGATATGAACAGTTTTATTTTTGTATTTTACGCTTTAACATTTCCATTTCTGGTTAATAAAATTCACATCTTTTATCTAAGGAAACTGTATTATACTTGCAGCTAAATATTTTGTCACTCAAATGACGTAATTGTAGGAATTTCAGAAAAGGTTTTTACATATTCTGGTTCATCAGAATAAGAACCATGAAATTTCAAAAGCCCTTTCTTTTTTGAAAGGATCTCACAGAGAATTAAATTACCACCAATTTTGGGGCCTGGGGAGGTAAAGAAAAACAGTTACTTCTATATGAAGAGAAACACTGGCCACCTTGGTAAATGATCGATAGACCCAATGCAGTGAAACCAGTTTCTAAAGGGTTTGCCTGAAGGTTCTGATGACTGATCCTACAACTTGAAACCCTTTTCTGATGCAAAACAAAACAAAATCAAAATTCCCTTCTTCATTTTTTTAATATTTTATTTTATATATAATTCTTACATCATGTTTCATTTTTGCACAATGTATGCATTTTCATATGGGGAATATAACCAAAATTCCCTCCTTTAAATGAAGCACTCCTGAGCATTCCAGCCAAGAGGGCAGAACTACCCCCCAAATCCTATTTTGTTTAAAGATTTATTTATTTTTATACAAGAACTGGGGTACAGGCCAGAGGGGCGGGAGGGTGAGAGGATTCACCAGAGACAGAGCGGGGAGCAGAACAGGCAGATGGACCGAAATACACTTCTGAGGGGAGCAGCGGGCAAGACAGGAGAGGTCTGCTGCGCCATGTGGGTATCTCCTGGGCCAGCAGAAATCGAACCCAAGCTGCTGAGGCCGCAGACAGCTTCACAGTGCTGCGCTCAACCTGCTGCGCCACGAGAGAGGCCCACCCCCCAAATCCTAACATCCAAGAAGACAAAGGTCAGCCACATGCACTGGTTGTCCAGTTGTCTGCACAACCTCTGTGAGCTTCCCACCTGCTCCTGCTATCTCACCTTGTTACCGTGTTGGATGTTTTCTGGAGAGATCTGGTTTTGAGCTCCCACAGACAACCAGTGCAACTGATAAACATGATTTTCCTGTCTGAAAGGGCTAACAAATTTCATTTCTACCTTAAGTGCCTGGAAAGGGAACCTCTCCAGAAATAAAGTTACATGTTCCCCTGTAAATGTGGAGCAGGGGAAGGCCTGATCTACCCTGGGGATTAAAGAAGTGAGCAGGAAGGTAATGGAAGACAAGGACAGAAAAACTGTAAAGTAGGCACCACAAGGTCAGAAACCTGGCTCCCACAATGCCAAGAGGTGGAGGTGGGGGTCGAAGGGATTAACATAGCCATTAACCCCGCTATAGGAACTAAGATCCTTGGGCGCCAATGCCTAGATCACAAAGCACAAGACAAGACCCAAGCAGGTATCAGACTGCTGTAGGGAGTGTCAAGAGCACAGACCTGAAGGTGAAGATATGGAGATTGAAGGCCATTGTAGAATCTCCAGTCCCTTTCCAGTTCTACACAGTTATACAAAATCAACAACAAATGAACCACTCCATGAAGGAATGAGCCCCTCCCAAAGAGAAGATTGTATCAGTGCAGTCTCTGCACAGGTTCAGGGCAGCAGTCCTTCTGCCCACCTGTGCCTATGCAGGTGCTCCTTGCAGCCAACTCTCTCCCTCCGCAGGGCAGCAGCCTCCTGCCCACCCTGACCTTTACCTGCCGGGGCTTCTCTTCACTGACCTCCCTCCGTGGAGGCGGCCGCTCTCCTCAAGGTCGCCTGGCTGCGACCATGCAAGCCTCTCTTTTAGCAAATCTGTCCCTTTCAGGGCAGCCCTTTCTGCCCACTTGTGTCTATGCAAGTGTCCTTTACTCTTCTCTCCCTTTTATAATAAACCTGCCCTTTTGGATAGAACTAACATCTCTATGTCCTGGAGAAACTCGCCTGGGAAACTCACCACATGCTACTGAAAGGGGAGCTCTGGTGAAACTCTTCCCAGAGAGAACTCAAGGACCCCACTCTCTAAACCCAACAACTCCAAAAACGACATGAAGGGCATCAGAGAGTCTAGGAACCCTTCCAGCAAACGGGGGTCAGGACTACTGTAAGAGGGTGGTCCCCAGGAAGAGGGAAGGTTCCAAGTTCCCTGCCCCATCCAAGGCAGTGTGGAGCTGAGCAGGGAGAAGCTGGAGAGGAGACTGGGGAAGGAAGGAAGCAGGATGGAGAGCCAGAAAGAAACCTAAAGGAGGTACATGGAGCAGAGAAACATGAAGAAACTGCACTTGCGTCTTGGTCCTGGGCTGGTTGAATCAGATGTGGGTGAGAGACGCGTGGGGATGTTAACAATGATTTTGATTTTGCTCTTTTCCTCCCAGACTTGTCTGTTTCTGACCCTTTTCTATGGGTCCCTGCTGGAAGGTGCTTTAGACTTGTGGCAGACTTTCAGGCCTTGCTTTGGGCCAATCCTGCTTGGGTGGACTTTTACCCACGAGGGGACGGGTAACTTTAGGTGCTTGATTTGGAAACTATATTCTTGGTCTTTCCTGTTTTGCACACTAATTATATTAAAGTTCCTTTCCATTAAAGGTCTTACATGTTTTGTCTTGATACAGCGGATGGCAGAACCTATTTAGAGCAGGCAGGTTTGGGGATTCTGGAGTGCCCCTCGCCCTGCCCTGTAACACTACCTGCCAGCAATAAGTCCTATGTGGGTTTTATAATATTGTAAAAACACCAGGTATCTTTTTATTTACTTAATCACTTCACTTTAATTATCTGTAGTCATTAGAAGGAAAACCTCAAGTGCAAGGGACCTGGGGCCTACTGAACAAGAAAATAAGACATTGGGGCAGGAAAAGGCTAGAAGACTATTATGGCACTTCGCAGTCAAGGTTAGGGAGAAGGTACCCCTCAAAAAAGAGTGGGTGATCGGGGGCCTCCCTGGTGGCACAAGGGGTTAAGAGTCAGGACTATCAAGCTATTGCCAGCCACTGCAGCACGAGTTCGATCCCGGCCAGGGAGGTGACCCACAAGGCACAGCAGACCTCTCCTGTCTTGCCCGCTGCTCCCCTCAGCAGTGTATTTCAGTCGATCTGCCTGTTCTGCTCCCCACTCTGTCTCTGGTGAATCCTCTCACCCCCCGCACCCCTGGCCTACACCTTAGTTCTTGTATGCATAATAAAATAAAAATAAACCTTTAAAAAAAAAACAAGAGTGGGTGATGATATGTCAGAAGAAGACAGAAAACAGTTGCAGGGTCAGATCCCTGAGGAAGGAATGTGCTAGACCTAACCTGAGACATAAATCTAGGAACATCAGCAGCACCTTCAGCTCCAAGATGTATCTCGTAGAAAGGAGAAGCAGAGAACTCACCATTGTCGGGCCACGCCTTACCTAGATCTGCCATCCACTGGGCCAACATGTGGACAAACGTGGCCAGCACGTTGCCCCCATTGAGGGATGCTGCCACGGCCAGGTAGGTCCTGTCGAAGTATGGGAAGTAGGCGACCGGAGCGGCAGGGTCTGGAATCTGCGCTGGCTGGAATCCCGCAGGCATGGAGGCTGCCAACTGAACTGAGGTGCTGATGTTGAGAACTGGATCCCAGGAAAGCAGAAGTTAATCAGGCCTGCTGGGCTAACTTTAGGTCACAAGTCATAACAGGGCCAAGGAGGGTATGCTGGTTTAAAGATCAGAAAAGGCTTTGCAGTGTTTGTGTGAGAAATGCCCACACCCCTGGCCAGGCCTGAGCAAGCCTTCAGATTGATGGAGGTTAAGAACAGAAAATTTGGAAAGGCTGTGTTACAGGGCAACCCCAATGTGAAGTGGGTGCCTGACTGTGAGACAGAAAGATTACACCACATGTCCTGCAGACCTAATGTGCTTACAGTGACCAACTCAAGGAAAGTTACTTCAAGCTAGTCAACCACGGGGGTAACATGATCAACCATGCTGGACACCAAACTGTTACAGGGCAACCCCCATGTGAAATGGGGTGGCCTGACTGTGGGTCCTCACCCGTGTACTTAAAAGGTACTTATAATGAGACTCAACTGCAGGTACAAAAAGGATAATAAGTGGTTTACTTACAAAAAAAAAAATAATAAAAACCAGGAAATGAAGAAAGGAACAACTCAGGGAGAAAGAGAGATAAATTGATGAAGAATGTGTCCTACCAGTTCCGCTGAGCTGGAACCCCAATAGTACGCTGAAAGCTGATGAAAAGCCAAGCACCCCCAAGACCCACATGTCTGGTTATATACCAAGCCTGGCTGCTTAAGTCCACCCACAGTTCCCAGCAGTCCTCTCTTTGGTGGTAATGACATTATGGGATTTGTAGTCCTTGGTATCTGGATCTCTTTGGTGTAGGGTGGGGGTGGATCCATAAAACCTATTTCTGGAGTTTATTCAGGACATCCTTTCCCCCTAACAGAGACACCAAGAAACCAGAAACCTGGTTCACACAAGCTGGAGGTGGGGGCAGAGTGATTAACATAGTCATTGAACCAACTATAGAAATGAAAATCCTTAGGTGCCAACTGCTACAGCAAGTATCAGACTGCAGGTATAGAGTATCATGAGGCGCAGACCAGAGGTGGGGCTATGGAGATGGAGGGCCTCTGTAAAGAACCACTAGTCCTTACAAATCAACCTAGTCACACCCCAGAAGTAATTAGGTTAACAAAAGTTAACAACTTCACAAAGGAATAAGCCCCTCCCAAAGAGGAGAAGACTATATGGGTGCTACTTCTGCACTGGCAAGGGGGGGTTCACTGTCGGCCTATACCTTTTCTTTCTGCCACATCCAACCTGTCACCACTACTGTAAGTTGGTGGTCCCCAGGAAAAGAGGAGGTTCCAGGTTCCCTGCCCCACCCAAGGAAGGGTGGAGATGAGCAGGGAGGAGGAGAAGCTAGATAGGAGACTGGAAGAAGGAAGGAAGTAGGATGGAGAGCCAGAGGGAGACCTGGAGGAGGCACATGGAGCAGAGACATGTGAAAAAACTGCGCTTGCTTCTCCGCCTTGGCTTGGTACCAGGCACTTGGGGGGACATGGAAGGAGACACTTGAAACAGATGTGGGTGAGAGACCCGTGGGGAAGTTAACAATAACAGCTTTTATCTTGATTTTAATTTTTCTCTTTTCTTTGCAGACTTGCATGGCCCCTTCTGCCCCTTTCCTATGGGTTCCCACCAGAAGGTGCCTTAGACTTGTGGCAAGCTTTTGGTCCTCAGTGGCCCTGCTTTGGGTCAACCCTGCTTGGTTAGGCATTTACCCTTGAGGGAATAGGTAACTCTGGGTGCTTGATTTGTAAATTATTTTGTCTATTCTTTCCCTTCTCTTTATTGCACACTAATTTCATTAACCTTCCTTTCTACTAAAGATCTTATGCACTAGAGTACGTTTTGTATTGATGTAGCAGATGGCAGAACATATTAACAGCAGGCAGGTTTGGAGGTTTTGGGGTTCCCCTCACCCTGCCTAGTAACATAATCAGAAGTAATTTGCCCTCCACTGTCCCCTCAGGTGAAGGTGCCAGTGATGGGGGGCTGGATGACCAATTCTGCCCTTGGACATGGCACTGGCCAGCAGCCCCAACCAGAGAATACAGCTCATGAAGAAGAAGCCCAAATCTTGTCTTCTTGACCTGCATTTAACTAAGCCCCTCGTTTACCATTTTGAAAGTACATTTACAACCAGACACAGGGCCTAAGATTTGAAAAGCAGCAGGTAGGAGGGGAAGCCAGGCTCTTCACAGGCACCACCCCATGCCATCATTACATGTGCAAGGAATTGTCATCACCCTTATTTTGGATGATGACAAGGGCTTAGGGAAGAAAAGGAATCTACCCAAGATCATACCTGATGAAGTAAATTCTAACCCAGGCAGGTGGTTGGACTCCAGAGCCCCCGGGGGTTCCCTGATAGTCATGCTTTCAGATGAATAATACAAGGCAAGGCATTGGTACTGGGAAAAAGAAGTCACCAAATAAACCTTTCATATTTTCCTGGGGCACTGATTTTATCTGAAATTTTGGGAGGAAAAAAGTTTTGAACTTTTTTTTTAATCTAAAAAGATTTTATTCTATATGTGCAAACAAATTGGAAAAAGTTCACCTTTCCCTCTAGGATACTCTTGACTTAAGAAGAACTGCTACCAAAACCAAAATAAAACAGTCCCAAAGTGAACTCACTCAGCCACGCTAACTTGAGAACCAACTGAAGCTGACATCCCGCTCAGGCAAGCAGGCCCAGATTCTACCCCAGTCCGGGTCATATCAGCCTGTTATCTTTTTTCTGGATGACCCACAAGCATTATTGAGATATATATAATTCATATAAATTCGCCATAAAATGCCCCATTTAAAACTGGTGTTTTTTGGTACCACCGCAGAGTTGTACAAACATCACCATGATCGAATTTTAAGACATTTCCATCACTCCAAAAAGAAACCCGTACCCATTAGTATCCATCCTCCCCTCTCTTTCACCCTCCCAACCATTTAGTGTACTTTCTGTCTTTATGGATTTGCCTGTTCTAGACCTTTCATAGGAACAGAATCACACTGTGGCCTTTTGTGATGATCTTTTTTGGTTTCTTTCATGTTCACTCATGAGTGTGGCATTTATCAGCTCTTCAGTCCTTATTAGTTGTGCGGACATACCATATTTTTAAAATCTGCTTATCAACTGATGGGCATTTAGGTTGTTTCTATTTGGGGCTATTATGAAGAACGCTGCCAGGAACGTTAGTGTGGACATGTCTTTTCAGTTCTCTTTGGTAGATTAGGAGTGGGGTTGCTGAGCTGATGGTCTTCTGAGAAACTGACTGTTTTCCAAAGGGGTTGCACCATTTACAAACCCAGTAGTATGCTCCTACATTTTTAAATGGTTGGAAAGAAATGTAATGGAGAATATATTTCATGACACATGAAAATTACAAGCAATTCACATTTTCATATCTATAAATAAAGCTTCATTTGGAACACAGCTAGGCCCACTCATTTGCGTATTGGCTACAACGCTTTCACCTTCAACAGCAAAGTGCAGAAGTCATGACAAAAAAACTATAAAGTCCACAAAGCTTAAATATTTACTACCTGGCCCTTTACAGGAAAGTTTGCCAAGTCCTGCTCAGGGCTGCTGCTTCCAGCTCACTGTGACTCTCACCCAGAACACACAGGAGTCTACACTTCAAGTCAGATCAGACTGACCTTTCATCCACAAACACAGAATAACAAAAGCCCTTGTCCATGTATCTCTTTTCTTGGTGGTGGAGTTACACAAAACAGCCAACTACAGAAGGCCACTTCCCTCACCCAGCCCAGACAGGAGAGATGCAGCTATGTGGTCAGGGACCGAGCCTGCCTTGCGGGACTAGAAACTTCCCGGACAGGGGCTTCCCCTGTGGGGACGAGGGTGCTTTTCATTTTACAAGATAACAATCAACAAGATGCTGAGGCTGCTAGTTATCTGGGCCCCTCAGATTCCCACACAGACCCAGTTAGGAGGCACTGGTAGAAATTGTCAGAGGAGAGAACCAGAGAAACTTACCCGCATCTGTCCTCCAGGCCATACAGGAATACACGGAGGCCTGTAAATCACCCAAGGCCACACCCACAGGTGTCCCCTTGGGGATTTCAAACCACCCTCGGGAAGTTCTGCCTGCCATGCTGCCAGGCTCTGAGATGTCTGGGAGCAGATGGACCGGAAAGCCGGAGGCCCTCAGTCTGCAAATCAAAAGTGGACATGTTTACCTGGCGCTCCCTTAGCTGTTTCTTTGTTGTTTCCAGGGAACTCGGCAAAAGAAAGCGCTACAGGTCACACATCCAATAAAGGAAGGTGGAGTGCAGTGTTTTCACAAATGGCCTGTCTGAATTTTTTAAAACTTTAACTTTGGGTTTTTTAAAGAGTGGACACTGGTTTCCAAAAGCTTACAATTGCCCTTCCCAGAAATAAAAACAAAACAAAACAAAACAAAAAAACAAGAAGCAACTTGAACAGGGGTGTCAGGAAGGATTAGATAAGATCTAGATATTACAGGTGCCCGTCTCTTGTGCTCTGCAAGGGGAGGCAGTCAGAGTTTCCGTAGCCCTGTTGGTTAGCCGCCGGTCTCCGGCACACCAGATGTATTCACCACTCAGAGTTAGTGAACATGGGCTGTCAATTTTATAAAACATGCTAAAAAGTCCTTTACCTGAACTAACAGGTGCGTTTTATTACAGAGCTCAGAATCTGGGCCCTGAAGGAGGTGAACTATTAAGGCACTGGACTTCTGGACCTGAAAAGGCAAACGATAGTTCAAAAAGAACTTTAAAAAAAAAAAAAAAGCAGTCCTCAAGTCTACTACTTCCATTTATTAAGCTTATTTTAAAATAAAGGGTGAAAGTTGTTCTTTGACACTTACAGGCTAGACCTGGGTCACAGAGAAGTGGGGACCCTACCCTAGTTCTGCGTAACTATGGAGGAGTAGGAAGATAGCATGGCATGAGGGAGGTACCCCTTCCAGCGGCTTCACTTAACGCCAGGCCCGCCCATGCCCAGTGACTGGAACAGGCTGTGGAAGGGAGAGTATTAAAACCTGATTCCTGACCTTTAGAAATCCCCCCATTCCCAAATGGGGCAGCTCTCCCTCTGGAGATTCTGCTTTTTAGCAAGGCCGCAAGGTTATACTCACATTTCCAAGTTCCAGCTTTGGCTCCGGGAGTTGAAATATCCCCAGCTGGCAGCATTCTGGTCAGACATCAGGGGTCTTGGCAAACCACACAGCATGGCAACCACATAGTCATGGATGGTACCAGCCGCGTCGTAGGACTCAAGGAACTCTGGGCTGTTTTCGTACCAAAAACAATTCACATGGCCTAATATTGGCTTAAAGGCATGTGCTGCACTTAGCTGTGGACAGTGAGGACAAGACCTGGCATAGCTGGGTGATAGCCAGAACCCCACCTGCCTGGCTCCCCAGCAGCTGGACCTCCCAAGGTGAGAACCTGCCAGTCATTCCAAGCAAGGTGGCCAAGTAGGTCTTAGGGGAGGGGAAATAGGACCATGCCTGGGAAAGCAGGACACTGTTCACTGTCAGCAGTCCTGACCTCACCATAAACTCACCCTGTGAACCTTGGCAGGTCCCTTGCCCTCTCTGGTTCCTCCTTTCCCGCTCTGGGCTAGAAGCAGATAACCAATAAGGAGCCTCTGTCTAGTCCACAGCTACTCGTGACCACACGCTGTGCCAGACCACACGCTATGCCAGGCCACACTCACTGAGGATCAGTTGTGAAGCTGAGATGCTAGCAGTGCAGCCCTGCTCATTCCCAGCACCCAAATCTAACCCAGCACCCAATTCAAAGAATGCCTGTTCATACCTATTTTTCAAAAGCCAGAAGACAGTTGCACAGCCAAACCCTGTGGCCACACTGAGGTGGGACTCTGGCTGGGGCAGAGAGGCCAGGAACCCGCTGCTACAGCGGCCATCCTGCCACGTGACCAGGTGGCTCACCGCTCTGGGCTCAAACACAGGGGCGGCCCCTCCCTCTGTCCATTCACAACCTGGAACAAATGAGATTACCCAAAACATAGTAAAGAGCAACTGACCAGACATGTCCTTGAGACTACAGCACAGACTTCAACACCATGATAAAGCCTCACGCACACACACAGGTTCTGCTATGAGAGCGCCTGGGTTTAGTGCCTGGCTCTACCGCCAATGGCTGCCTAACCTGGGACGAGTCACTAACTCCCTCCACATCTTATGTTTCCTTTTATTCATTTTTAAAGCCAATATTATAGATCCCCTCAGCCCATAAGTTTGACACCATCTCAGGTCCCCTGGCTCTGTCCTTCCAAATCCAATATGATGACATTACTTGACTTGATTCTGGATGATTATGGATATATTTTCTCTTTCCCTTTGGCCTTTGCTAATTCATGGAACTCTGCTAAGGAATCTGGCCATCTTGCTTCATTATCTCTTAAAACATCTTCTGGGTTTTTTTTTTTTTTTTCCTGTTCTTATTTAAAGGTTTCACCCAAAAATGTTACCGTGTAGGTCGTTCTATGCATCTCAAGGCCTCAGACTATTTCTTTATGTCCTTGTATTTGAATGACAGTTTGATCAGTTACACTATTCTAGATTATACATTTGTTTTCTTCAACACATAAAAACAATATTTGTAGGGATTCACGATAGACTGCTGCAAATTCCTTGCTACTCCTCCCATTAAGATATAGAGTCCAGGGCCTCCCCGGTGGCGCAGCGGTTGAGCGCTGGGTTGCGAAGCTGCCCGCGGCCTCTGCGGCGCCGGTTCGATCCCCAGCTGCTCCCCGGCCACCAGAGAAGGGTCCCACATGGCGCACAGACCTCTCCTGTAGCCCGCTGCTCCCCTCAGCAGTGTACTTCGGTCCTTCTGCCTGCTCTGCTCCCCGCTCTGGCTCTGGTGAATTCTCTCACCCTCCCGCGCTTCTGACTGTACCCAGTGCATGTATAAACAAAACAAACAAACAAACAAATAAATAAATAAACATGCCTCTATTAAAAAAAAAAAGAGAGAGATAGAGTCCACAGCTATATTAAAAAAAAAAGATGAAATCTTGCCATTTGTGGTAACATGAATGGAACAAGATGGGATCACACTAAGTGAAATAAGTCTGAAGGAGAAAGACAAGTACCTGATTAGTTCACTCATTTGTAGACTATAAAGAAACAAAGCAAAGCCACTGACAAAGCCAAACCAAAACAAACTCCTGGAATCCAACTGTAGAACTGAGTTTTTGGGGTGGGGCAGGGAGTAGGATGGAGGAAGTCCAGTGCACACTACAGAGTACAGAGGGTTATTGATATTTGGGTGGTGGGCGTGGTGTGGTGGCATCATTTGAAGAGTTTCAAACCTGTACTCCTAAAACACATACTATTGCCTCCTGCACAAACCTGTTAACAGTACTCAGAACACTGCTGAGTCACAGCAGTTATCTTATTTAATAGGCACCACCAAGTTGCTCTCCAAAACGGCTATCCTAACTTAAACTCCCAGCAGTGGCATTCAAAAGAACCAATTTTTCAGTCCCTGAGCCAATTCTTGATGTTATCAAACTTTGATTTCTTAGATTCCAATGGGTAGAAAATGATCTTGTTTCTTTCATCGGCACTTCCTTAATTACTAATGACACTGAGCATCTTTTATATGCTTATTGGTCATTTGTATTTCCTCTTCTAGGAACTGCCTGTCGGGATCCATTGCCCATTTTTCTACAGTGCTACTTGTCCTTTCTTTGTTATCAGTTCTTTATGTGTATCCATATTCATCCTTTGTCTACTACACATGGCAAATACCTCCTCTCCAGTCTGCTACTTACCTGATAGCTTTGTTTTATGATTCCCACTCACCTGCTAATCTGGGCCTAAAAATGGAGTTTGGAAACAGGCATAACCACAGGCCTCTTAGAAGACACTAGTTACTCCCTCTCCTCAGCTCCAACTGGCTTGCCCGTGCCCCCGAGAAGCACTTAGCTCTCTTCTGGTCATGATGTGGCTATGCTAACCTCACCCGCTATGCCCTGGATGGTGGGGGCTTGACTTGCTTGTTTCTATGTCTCCCAGGGGGTCCACCATAGAGTCTTACATATTGTATGTACTGAAACCAAACTACATTAAGGCAGTCATAAAAACAGAACAACCAGGTCCCAAATGTGACTTTACTCTACTCTGCTAGGCAGGGATCATCATCATCAAACGGTGGCTTTTTTTCTTTCCCAGAAACAGAAAACAAAACAAGAAGACAGGCAGCCTGGCTCGATGAAATATTAAGCAGCTCCCTCCAATGATGTGGGTGATGGTTTGTGCGGTGGTTACAGAGTCCAGGCAGGCAGATAGGAAGGCGTGCAACCAGACCACAATCATTAGCTCTCTGCTGTCCTCTTTGGGAAGGGTTTTAGTATTAAAAGGACATTTATTCTCATTAATGCAAAATTAAGGAGTTTAAAAAGCTTTTACAACCTAGACTCCCTCTGAGAGATCAGTCTAACACCCTAATAGGCCTTCTGCTCCTGCTACTGCTTGGAGCCAAGCAGCTCCTGGGGGCCCAGATGCCTGATAACAGGCAGAGGACAGGGGGGGGGAGATTGTATTGGCCTCTATAGTTGCCAGCACCCATCCTGGGGACTGAGGAAAGGGTGCCTCTGTCGCGCTGCTGAGCCAGTTACTGCCTATTTAGCTCAGGGAGGACTCGGAATCACTGACTCCCCGGGCAGAAAGGGGTCAATCTCATATTCAAATAATCTTAGCCATAAGACCCCCAAAATAATCATCCATCATCTGTTTAAAACACCTGTAGGAAAATGCTGATATTGTTGAAGATGGGTGGGTGTTGGCTCATAATGTTATTCTTCTTACTTTTGTCCATATAGAATTTATCTTAATTAGGAAAAAACTTTAATATTTGCTGTAACAGGACGCTCACAACTTCCTTTAGGAACCTAATCCTTGGACATGCTGTTGGGAAGCTCCTTTCTGCAGGGAACCACTGTGTCTTCCTGGAGCTCTGGGCCACCCAGAAGTCTTGGAAAGCACAGTGTCTAGAAGCAGACAGACCTGGGTTCACAGCTGGAGTCACTGCTGAGCATATGACCCTGAGCATATTATGCTAATCTCTGTGAACCTCAACTTCTCATCTTACAATGGGGACAGTAGCATAACCTACATTATCAGGTTGTTGGGAAAAGTCAATGCCCTTTACCCAGCACCCGGCATGGAAAGTGTTCACTGCTGTTTTGCTGGTTCAATTCTCTTCCCAGAGGCCAAACACAACAGTCATCTGCCCCTACACTGGCCAACTCTCTGATAGGAGATGACCAATTGCATAAACGTCAGCAACTAAGCCCATCAAAATGATACACCCTAGGATTTAAAAATCATAAACATCTGTGGTGATGTTGAATAATAAACACTGCCCAAATTCAAAAGTTTCTTATGTTCTGGCATCTGCTACAGCTACGCTGATCTCTTAGTCGTCAGCACTGATGTTCTGAGACACCAATACAGATAAAAGGAGAGTTGTGGGGAAGCCAGGCCACTGACTCCCACATAGAACCAGAGAGCGCTCACGCTTTTCCCTCTCCCTGGTCATGGAGAAAATGTGAGTGGGTAGCTCACTTATTTGTTGCACACTTGCACAAGACAGGATGACACCAAATACATAAGACAGCATGGACTGTTTTGTTCGCCATGGAGGAGAACTTCTCTGAGAGAAGCCCTGCAGACTAGTCTAGCTCCCCGTGACTACCAGCATGCAATCCTCCCGCAGCCCGGCATACCTTGGCCTGTTTTCCAAAACATGATTCCATGCATCTGGCCTGACACTCCAATGCCACAGACTCTCCGCAGCTCCTGCCGGGGAAGGGCAGCCAGGCACTCGTTCAGGGCTTGGATGATTTTACTCACATCCTGCTCCTGCCCCTGGAAGTAGAACAGGACAAGTTGCTATGGGGTATAGAGACAGGCAGTGATGAGAGGAAGCAGAGACCTCCAGTGATATTCCTGGCTGGTGGGTACCCCGCTAATTCACTTCTAGAACCTGCTGACCTGCCTCAGGGATGGGCCTGAGGGTTCCCTGCCAATTCCAGCAGGGCCCAGACTAGAAATGTGGTAGTAGGGCTCCACTCCAGCCCTTCACAGATGAGTTGCTGCTGTAGATAAGGCTTATTCTCTGCCCTCTACTGTGGGGGTCTGAACTGAGAACAGTATTGCCCCCAAAAATGACACTTAAGATGTCAGACTTATAAATGGAATAAGTTTTATAAGTTAATTTTAAAAGCTTTATTTAATAAGAACTATGGTTCTGAATTTAATAAATTGAACACCTATTTTAATCTCAACCTAATGAAAGTGCTCTGGCACACAAAAACCATAAGTTTATTTATTAAGAAATAAACTTGGGCCTCCCCGGTGGCGCAGCAGTTGAGCGCTGGGTTGCGAATCTGCCCGCAGCCTCTGCAGCACCAGTTCAATCCCCGGCTGCTCCCCGGCCACCAGAGGAGGGTCCCGCATGGCGCGCAGACCTCTCCTGCCGCCTGCTGCTCCCCTCAGCAGTGTACTTCGGTCCTTCTGCCTGCTCTGCTCCCTGCTCTGGCTTTGGTGAATTCTCTCACCCTCCCGCGCTTCTGACTGTACCCAGTGCTTGTATAAATAAATAAATAAATCTTTAAAAAAAAAAAAAAAAAGAAAGAAAGAAAGAAATTTATCTTCAACAACCAAAAGGATCCATGGAAAATGCACAAGAAGAGAGAAATATGGCTCCGCTCTCAATGAATGTCTGTTCTTTGGGAAGCTAAAAAAGCTTATGGTCTTGGAAAAGCATCTGAAGGCTGAGCCCTCGGGCCCCTTCTTTTGGGGAGCGGTAGTGCAGGTACAGCTAATGCAGCCTCCCCCCCTTAGAACAAACCCCTCACTTGCGTCCTATCAACCTCCTGACCTGGGTCAGGGTAATTCTTGATTCCTAACAAGCATGAACAAAGGAACAGAAAAAAGGAAGGTGGGGAAGGAAGAAGGAGTGGAGAGAGGCTTCAAAGCATTTTTCCATGGAAGCAAGCAGGTAGGATAATCAACTGAGACCTGCACACCCAGTATGGTGGGCATAGGTGGCTAGTCTGAATTGAGATGTGTTATTAAGTACAAAATACATGCTGCATTTCAGATTTAGTATTTCAGATTTAGTTTGATAAAAATGAATGTACAACGTCTCATTTGCAATAATTTTATAGTGATTGTTATACACTGAAATGATAGTATGTCAGTGACATTGGGTTAAATAAAATATGCAATTAAAATTAATTTCACCTGTTACTTATTATTTTTTAATAATGCTACTAGAACATTGAAATGACACTTGTGGCTCACCTTTGTGGCTCGCATTTCTACTGGTCAGTGCAGCTTTAAAGAGTTCCCACATGGCCAGCAGATGGTGTATCAACCCAGAACAGAGAAGCTGCTATGTAAAATGGGCCCAGGGTGGGTGAGGATGCTGGGTGGTGAAGAAGGGAAGTGGACAGATGAGAATGAAGATAAGAAGGCAGCCAGTGTTCAGTAGTTAGTTAAACTTTTCGTGGTGAGTTTGATCAGGGAGTAGCTCTTGGCCAGACAGCAGGTACACCCACAGTGTAATGAGGTCCTGCCTCTACTTTCATTCATTATATCAGCTGGGCTATATCCAGATCAAATCCTAGAACTTTAGATTTGAAAAAAGCATGTAGAGACTCCTTCAACTGCCCTTCCTCCCCATATCCCCTTTATAGATGAGTAACTGAGGTCCAGAGAAGAAAAATTAATAAAGCAGAAAGGGTCACAGAACTTCCCTCAAAAGCCCTGATTTTAAAATCCTATATAAAGCTACAAGTCCCTTCCACATAGCTGCCAAGATAGACCTTGGTGTACATGGCCCTTGTAAAGAGTGAGAAGTTTGGACATGAGGAACCACAGAACCGTCAGGTTCTTACTCCACCGATGATTTTTCCATGGATCAGTGGTTCTTACTCCATCGATGATTTTTGTCTCCTAAAGGTTATTTGGCAATATGGAGACATTTTGTGGTATCACAACTGGGGAAGAGGGTTTTAAAGGTCTGTAGTAGGTTAGTGGCCAGGGGTGCTATTAACCTATAATGCACAGGATAATCCCCCAAAACAAATAATCATTGGATCCAAAATAGCAACAGATTCAAGTCTGAGGAGTCCTGCTGTAGATGAAATTACAGCAATGCTGTGTCCCTAGAGCACAGCACACATGTGGAAGGTGCAAAGGGAGCGATTACTTGCCTCCCCTCAACCCCTCATTAGGTAGGTGTGGCACACTGGGTGTGCCTGTAAACACACAGTATGCCCTGAATATTGGGGGAGGTGGGGAAAGTTGTTTTCAAGAAGTGGCCCTATTTCAAGAAAAAAAAAAGGCACTCCATAAACCCCACCCCTGTTATCTGGTTCTGCTGTTCACCCTTACAGGTTCTGAGCTTCCATTCCATTGTCAATAATCATTCTAAAATACCCCATGCCCCAAACAAACTAATTTTGAAAGTGTTATGAAACTGCAAAGTGCTCCTGAAATCTTTACCTTTTGAAAGGCTTCTGAGCAAGATGGACTCTGAACCCTAAAGAAATGAGTCTGGATATGTGGCAAGACCTAGGGAAAAACAAAGCTCTTGGAAAGGGGGCTTGTCTCAGAAAATCAAGGCTTGTGGTTAGAAGGGGCCTTAGAGGTCACCTATTTCAACTCTTAAAACACACTGATCCAGGAAACAAGTCATGAGATTACAGAGATCCTTGATATTTCTTGTATCAAGTCATTGAACACACGGCTAGCTATCTTTTCCAGGAAATTAATGGACTCCAGTTTTGAGGATTACTATCCTTTTTTGAACTCACATCTCATAATACCCATTACTGTTGAAATCCTCCATTTCTAGCTCATGGCATTCACAAGATACTACTTGTGTATAAATTATCAATCTGCTTTTTTTCTAATATTTTAATTATCTTATCTCTCAATGTCTAACAGTCCTGATGTTTTTTCTTTGGGGACTAGGGGACTTTCGTTGACCAAGTTTCTGAGTACCCATTTTCCTACAGCATGAGAGAGGAGCCAGGTAGGCCTGACTCTGCATCTAATTTCCAGAGAAAACCCAGACTCTGCCCTGGAAAGGAACAGAATTCTAAACTTCAGGATAAAGGCAGTGAGAGGAGCAGAAAACAGTGAAAGTGAATGAGAGGCCTGAGGCCATTGCATGTACACAGGCGAGCAATCCCCCAGGTCAGGGTACAAAAGGTGGAGGACACAGAGGCGAGGGATACATGTGTAGGGTAGATGGTTTTCAGGCTTTTCTGCCCTCCCACCAGTAGGACTGCCCTGGCTGACGGGGCACCTGGAGTTGCTACATTTTGCAAACTGTCTTGCTCACTTCTGTGGGCCATGGGAGAAGTATTGAAATAGTCACCAAGAGAAGCAGAAGCAAGTGAGAGAGGGAAGAGGAGAAATAAGGCCAGAGAAGCCCAGAGTAAAGACTTGGGGGGGGGGGCAAGAGGCCGGCAGGAGGCCCCCCAACACCCCTGCCTGCCATGTACCTGTTTGCCACACTACATGTAAAGCTCAATAAAAGCCTGTTAAAACCACCGAGGGCTCCAGGGCTCCTCCTTTATCCCGTCTGCGTGGATCATAAAAACCTGTTCTGTGCCCTTTCTGCCTCTACACATTGCCATGGGCAAGGCTCCCAGAAGAGGCTCCGGAGAGTGGGAGATTGGTGCCAGAAGACGGGAAAGCTTCTGGAGCGCAGCCTTCCAGGTCGGGGGAAGCTGCAGCAGGTAGGCGGAAACCAGGCAGGCTGGAGCAGTCAGGAAGACTTCTCCAAGGAAGGGGCGACCTCTTACGAAGAAGAGGGTAATCGGGAGGCTCCTGGAGGCGGCGCGACTCCAGGGCGCTGCCTCACCTGGGGCCCGACCGCTGCGCTCCGGGGGGCCGTCGCGGCGCGCGCAGCCCGGGCACAGCTCGCCAGGACCACGAACCCGGATGAGTCGCCGGGCGCGGCCTCCACCAGGGCTGTCTTCACAGACGTGGTGCCCAGGTCGATGCCGAGAGTGACGGATCGCGCAGCCATGGCCTCGGAGACGACCGCAGCGAGCAGGTGCTGCCAAGGTGCCCCTTCGCCCACACTATGCCCGGGACGGAGGCGGGGCCTCGCGCGCCACACTCAACATGGCGGCGTTCCGGGCAGGAAAGGCGGAGCCGGACGCGCCTGTGGGCGGCGGGCCCGGGTTCCAGCCAAGAGGCGGCGGGGGGCGGGCCCCGGAGGCCCCGCCCCGGAGGGCGCGCGTGCTGGAAGCGTGGAGCGCCGCGCGGGACGAACTCACCACAGTAGCTCTAGGGTTCGCAACAGGCGCGCGGGACTCGAGCGCCTCTCTCCCTTGAAGTGGGTTAATCGTCCCTCACCCCCGAACCCCCTTGCCTGCCCAGGCGCCCTCCGCTGCGCGCCGACCCCGCCCAACCGCGCCGCTAAGGCGCAGGAAAACTACAGCCCCCAGAGCGCATTGCGCGGAGTTATGCACTAGGCGGAGCACGTGGTTCGGTCAGGTGACTTATGCCCCGCTGGCACTAAAAGTCTAGCCGGTGTGGGGGCGCTGGTGCAGTTAGAAGCTGCTCCTGCCTCCCGTGTGGGTCGGTCCCCTGAGCCTAAGAGGATCCAGGTGAGAACTGCCATGACCCCAACAGCCTCCCTCCCGAGTCCCCAGGCGAAACCCTTGAGGTCCAGAGACTGGCACAGTAAGCCTGTCGGGCAGCCTGCGCGCATCCATCCCCCGCAATCGCGGGGATTCCACCCCCTGGCACTTGCCCCGGCCTTGAGAAAATGGATAGTCCCCAGGTAGGTGGTGAGCCGAAGCAGGGGACACGGTACTGCCGAGGTGGGACGGGTGCAGGTCCGAGCCCCCTTCCCCGCCTTCTGCTTAGTGGCCGCTTGAGTCTGGGTGGCAGAGTTTGCACATTGGTTTGTAGGGGAACTCCTGTTCTCGGACCAAGAGCCAGGCTGGGCTGGGGTGGGGCTGGCCCGGAGGAGACCCTGCCATCGTGGGCTTTCAGGCTGGAGAAAAGGAGGACAATTCAGCGCTGCCTTTTTCAATTGTGGTGAAGAAAATAGCATGTTTTGTGAGCGCTTACTAGGTGTCCTTGGCAACAGTGGTAATTACTTTACCTCGTTTCTTAATCTTTTTTCTTATCATCTCCCTACCACCACAGGATTTTTAATACTTTAATAAACTCTGTTTATGTACTGTGACCCTTTGGAGGACCACAAGCCTTGCTTTACATTTCATCTCATTTAAGCCCTTTCAGGTAGTTCTTACTGTCCCTGTTTTCACAGTAAGAAATTGAAGCTTAAGGAGGTTAAGTAGCACCCAAAGTCGTACAGCTAATAAACAGGGACTTCAGATTCAAACCTGTACAGTATGTCTCGAGGGCACACATTTTTTGCCACTAACTGTGTTACTTCTCCAAGAGAGGGAGACTCAGGGAGTTCCAGGTGGTAGAATGGTTGACAGAATGAACTCAGATACCTGATAGAGAGGAGCTGCTTGGGAAACCCCTGGCCCCGGGTTGCTCCTGGGAGGGAGTTAAGAACTGGAAACTCCTTGAAGCAGGTGGCATCTGAGTGAGTACACAGGAAGAAGGCATGCCACACAGAGCCTGTTGTGGTGAGTTCTCAGCTTCAGTCATGTAGCTGTCACAAACACTAGCTGTAGTGTATAATTATCAGTCTGATCCTTTTCTAACATTTTAATCACCTTATCTCTCAGTGTCTTTCTAGCTGCCCTGATGTCTTTACTCCCAGGTATCTCAGTCTTTGGGGCTGGATGACTTTTATTGACCAAGTGTTCGAGTTCCTCAGTCTACATTCCATTCCTATGGAATGAGAGAGAAGCCAGTTGGGCCTGATTCTGCATCTGATTTCACCAGGAAAGCCCAAACTCTGCCCTGGGGAACAAACTTGAGGAAACAGGCAGATATGAGGAGCAAACAGTGACAAGAACCAGCAGGAAGCCTGAGGTCACTGCATAGACACAAGAGAGCAATTCCCCAGAGAGTCAAGGTACAGAAGGTGGAGGACACAGAGCACAGGGATACATATGGGCATGCTTCACAGAGGGGACCAGAAAGTGGGTAGATTGGTGCCAGATGATAAGAAAGCTCCTGGGACAAGGCCTGATGGATCAGTGGGAACTGCAGCAGAGAAACCCCTGGAGAAGCTGAGGGCTGGGGGGGGGGGGGGGGGGGGGGGGGGGGGGGGGGATGAGGTGGGAAAAGGGTAGAGGCAGAATTCAGACAGGCTGGAGCAATCCGGGAAAATTCTTTAGGGAGGAACTCTCCAACTCCTTGAGGCCTTTTGGGGAAATTGAAACCACAATGGGAATAGGGGTGTTTCCACACAGACCCCTCCTAACTCCCCCACTGTTTGTAGGACTCCCGGAGGCTGCCAGCAGTGGGAGGGCCTGCTTACTGTGCTTTGAGGTAGCATCTGGGGAAATCCACGCTGACCTGCTGCATCTTGACCCAAGCCATGTGTTGGGCTTATGGGTTCGCAGCAGCCCAATTCTCACCAAAGTCGTGAATTGCTCCAGAGTCAGTGGGGCTTGTCCTCACAGGATCCCCATTGTGAGTGATCCCTGCCAGTCCTTTGACAATCATGAAATAAGTCTCAATCAAGGGTTAGTTGGTGGCATTAGCGCTGACTCATCCCAAGTCAGGAAATGAAATTAATTTCCTTAAGGTTGATAGGTTCATGAAGTCAGTTATCTGGCCACAGTTTTAATAACTTTGAAAAAAAGAACCACTAGCCATAAAACTGTATTCTTTCTTTCTGTTAGCTAGGACTTAAGAGGCTGTTAAAGAGGGAACAATTCAGTGTTTGTCCACTTCCTCAGAATGGGAGCTTACCCAACACATTGGCCTCTCTGAGCCTGTTTCCCCATATAGCAAAGATAGATAAGTGCTCCCTGGGGTCCCCATCTCCAAGGTGGTGATGCAGATCCTGTGAGGTCACAGGTATGAAGTGAAAGTCCTTTATGAACTGCCCGTGCCGTGGTTCTAGGGTGGCACATTGTCCTCTCGGGGATAAGCTGATCCAACTTTAACTTGATCTTCTTGCTGTTTTTCTCCCTAGTTCTTTGAAATTGAGGAACATGATAAGAAGGTGGCTGATTTTTATCCTTTTCTCCCTGAAGCTCATAGAGAAATGTGGTAAGTTTAGAAATGGCCATCAACTTTGTAGAGGGAAATGATGCTTGAAATAGTCTGACCTTGTGACCAAGGATTTGGGACTGTCCAGACAGCATATACCTGCCTTCCCCAAGCGGCCATGGGGTTGGTGGGGAGACTCAGGTGTGGAGTCCAGGAGTTTTACAAGGAGCCAGATGTTTACACAAACAGTTGGCCTTCTGCCCCAGGATCCCTATTAGCGTTTTTTCATTACTATCTTTCCTCCCATCTGTGGCACTTCAACAGTCTGGAACAATATTTATAAAGAACGGCATTTGTAGACCTCACACCTGCAGAAACAGGTGAGGTGGCAGGCACAGACACCTGAGGAGTCTTCCCAACACCCACTAATAAGACGAGAAAAATCTTTTTAGAGACAAAGCAGGACTAGGGGCCTCACAGAACACGGGCTCGTTGTCAGAAAAACACATCTGGGATTGCACCTCCATGGGACCTTGACCCTCAACTGGGCTCTCAGAAGCCTAAGTCATTCTAGCAATTTTCCTACCGCCCTAAGCACTTCTGAAATTCCTTAGACGAAAAGCCATGTTTAGCACTCCTATTATGCCAGGCCCATTATTTTGGTCATTGACTTGGCTATTGTCAAAAATCAAACACGTCTTAAAATCCCTGACTAAAGACTTTAAATGAGCCTTGTACAAACAAGGAAGCCTCCCAAGAAATCCTGTGTGGTGTCTATCCCATTACACTTATCTGGCCTTGTGAATCTCTGAGAAAACAATGACCATCTGATCACTCTTCCAGGCTTGTTAAACATTCATTTATGGTATGATGCAGCTACACCTTGTGGATGAACAGTTTCTGAGAAAGGAAAAATCCTTTGGACCATAGAAACCAGTGTTTGTCAATACGAATTCCAGAGGCTCACTCAGCCCTGCTGGGTCACATCGTAGAAGGAGGACCCAAGTGTGCAAGCACACATATGCACATGAGCTTGCTTTGAAAAGGCTAAGTTAGTAACACTCCCTGCCCTAGGAAAGGAAGAGCACATCCAGCCACCAGTGCCTGAGTTAGATTGAGGGGAAACTTAGGTCCAGAGAGGGCAGAAGTCATCTCCAAACCCACACAACCAGGAAACAACAAAGATGAAACCTGCATCCTTGCTCCATTTTGTCACTTTACCTCTTTTCCTGGATATCGTTATGAAAGAATACTGGAAACTTCCCTACAGTCAAGTAACAGGAATTTGCATTCTGCATGCCTGTCTTCCCTTTGCTTTGGGATTATAGCTGTGAGGCATGGCCTTTAGAGTCTTCTGCCTCTGACTTCTTTGGGTGGAATCTTGAGATGCTGCAAGAACCAGGACTTTGGACCATCAGGCCTACCTTTGAATCCTGCCTCTGCCATTTTTGAGCCATGGAGGCAGATGCTTCCCTCTTAGCATTCTCCGTCTCCTTAATCTGAACCAGGAATCCTAATACCCACCTCTCACTGTGTAATAACCAGAGAATGAGGGTTAACAGCATAGCAGAGTGACTGGCATGGGGTGGGGGGCACAGAGGGAAGTGCCAGTAAGTATTAGTTGTAAAACCAGGCTCTCCTCAGAGGAAATGGGGTGGTCTCATTAAGGCTCATTTGGCATTTCCGATGTGGTGTCCAAAGCTTCCTACCCCAGGAAAAATTTTATTTATTTTTTTTATTTTTTTTGAAAGATTTATTTATGCATATAAGAACTGGGGTACAGGGAAGAGGTGTGGGGGAGGGGTGAGAGGATTCACCAGAAACAGAGTGGGGAACAGAACAGGCAGAGTGACCAAAGTACACTGCTGAGGGGAGCAGCAGGCAAGTCAGGAGAGGTCTGCTGCGCCATATGGGTTGCTCCCTGGTTGGTCGGGGATCGAACTTGTGCTGCAGAGGCTACGGACAGCTTCATAGTTTGCGTCTTAACTCATTGCGCCACCAGGGAGGCCCCCAGGAAAAATTTTAAATGTGCTCTGCTGGGATATGATACCAGCTTCCTAACTGCCTCCCACTATGGACTGAAAAATGTATGGCAGTTTTTACTCAATAAGAACAGTCAGCGGCAATCACGTAGCACTTGGGCCATGCAAGCAGTGTGGCACAAACGTCACACTTAATCTTCACAGGGACCCTGTGAAAAGGCGTTCAGTGCAAGTCTCCCCATTTTGTAGCAATGAAACAGAAACCCAGGGTGGTTAAGGGCCTTGCCCGTGGTCACAGAGCTGGGAAGTGAGAGAGCCAGATGGAAGCCTGTGACTTTATTTTTTTTTTTTTTTAATAGAGGCATGCTTTATTTATTTGTTTGCTGGTTTGTTTGTTTGTTTTGTTTATACAAGCACTGGGTACAGTCAGAAGCGCGGGAGGGTGAGAGAATTCACCAGAGCCAGAGTGGGGAGCAGAGCAGGCAGAAGGACCAAAGTACACTGCTGAGGGGAGCAGCGGGCGGCAGGAGAGGTCTGCACGCCATGTGGGACCCTCCTCCGGTGGCCGGGGAGCAGCCGGGCATCGAACCGGCACCGCAGAGGCCGCGGGCAGCTTCGCAACCCAGCGCTCAACCGCTGCGCCACCGGGGAGGCCCTGGAAGCCTGTGACTTTAAAGCCCAGTCCCTCAGCTGCTGAGCGCTGCCTCAATAAATGAGGGGGAAGTAAACATTCCCTGAAAGTTCACAGCCTCCTCTCTCAAAATGCAAAGACTGGACAAGCAAAGGCTAGGTGGACCTCCCACTCACCGTGACCACATTCCCAGCAGGGACCCAGGGGTGTGGGTGACTGCTGGACATCACACTTTGTATCCCTGTCCTAGGCAGAGTCTAGGCAAGTCTTTCTTATCTGTGTGATAGGTAGAAAGTAATTGCAGGGACTGAAGTACCCCCACCCTAACTATGTAAGCCCAGAACAAAGCCCCGGACAGTGTTGTGAGAAAAGAAGGGACAGAGTTGGCAGGCCAGGCCAGGGAGTCAGAAGGACCCAGCCAGGTGGGGGCCAGAGACCTGGGAAGGTGGAGTCTCACCTTGAAGACTTGCAGATGCTGGGGACAGAACCTGAGTCTGCATTCATGCATGCAGGACTAACATGGAGAAGGCTGTGCTGATAGAGTCTGACAAGCCCCAGGGAGAGTAAGTCAGGCCTAGGAGGGCAAGTTGCAGACTGGCTGATTCCCTTGGAGGAAATGAGCTCACTGCCTCTGGAGGTGGCCAGGCAGAGGAGGAGAAACTACTAGGTAGTAGTATTGAGAAGGGGAATCACTGAAGTTGAATTAGGGCACTTCTAAGTGGGGCACCTGCTTTGCTCTTGTGGGCCTCTTCCCACCCACCTAGATTCTTGATCACACCCTAGGCTGTGCATTACCCTGAAGGCCTGGAGGTAAGGCAAGCAGGTGGACTAGGGCTCTGAGCACACCTGGCAGTGGGGGCGAGGGTGGGGGCTGCCCAAAGAATAGAGGAGGAGGTCAGAGAGAGACTCAATTATGTTCTGTGGCCAAGTACCTCTGAGGTGTTTAGCCTCCCAAACCCGCCTCCTCCCTCACTTCAGAGGCCTGTTTGGCTTGTCCTAAGTTAATACCTACTGCTGAGAAGAAATTCCTGATAGTGAAACAATATGTGTCATTCATCATCCTTTACCCAGTCCCCAGCACAGCCAGCCCCACGACAGGGCTATGTGTATAGACTGGGCTAGGTTAGTGCGGGATTCCAAAGGAGCTTCTTTAGAATCAGGTTGCTGGGCCCATCCATCTCTCAGCACAGGAAGGGGCTGGGCACTTTCTGCAGGGCCATTTTTGCTCTACAAAGGAGACCCCTGTGCTTTCACATCTGCAAATTCCAATCCCAGATGATGGCTTGAAGTCCTTTGTGACAGTTCTTGGGCTCCATGGTTCTATTACTGTCTCTGGCTAACTCAGCCACAGGCCCTCAGAGTCCATCGTTGTGGGGGAGGAGGAAGCTACAGTGTTTCCTGCCAGGCCTGTGTCTCAGCTGCAAGAAGGGAAAGGGCAGAATGAGAACTCAGGTTGTCAATTCCATCTCTTAGCCTCTGAAAACCTCCACACCTTCAACTAGAAGACAAGAGGCTATCCTGAGTCAGAGCTCACGAGTTCAGGTGTCAGGGACCCTCATCTCAGTTTCTCCTCATATGGGCCTAAGGTCGCTGACCTAATGACTCACATCATTGATTTGGGTCCTTCCAGAGTCCACAGTCGCCCTCACTGTTCCTTCCACTGTGAAGCTGGAAAATGGAAGTTCAACCAACATCAGCATCGCTCTCCAGTAAGTTTCCGGGCCCAGCTGTGTTTTCCCACTGCTCATATTTCAAGTGATACTCTTGCCTCCACTTTAAGACAAGCCACAGGCACAGAGGTGCTATCGCTGGGCTGTAGACCAGGCCCCCAATACCCAAGACTCTCTCCCTGCAACCATTGAATCCTTGTTTCCTTCTGGGGACAGGGGTGGGAGGGAGGAGTAAGGCTGCTCCCCAGAGACTTGAGCCTTTTCCCAGCAAAGAAAAATATTTGAGAAGAACCCCGAAGGTCAGGGGGCAAGATGCTAGGCCTCTCACCAGCACTTCTTGCTTTTCCAGAAGCAAAAGTTGACTGCATCAGTGCTCGCATTCACGAGATAGTCATGCTTTGCCTCATCTGAGTGTTTCTTATTGATGCTGCTGGTTCAAGCATGAGGGTACTGACCTAGATCAAGCAGTGCCAAGGAGTCTACCTCTTCTGTGATCTTAGCTGCTTCCCCTTATTCCTGCCTCCCAGCCTTGAAGATTTGCCAAGATGAAGATCTGGAACTCTGTTTTTTTTTCCTCTTTACCTTCCCTTTTTCTCCTCTCTTCTGAGAGGTCAGATCTCAAACCCCACCAAGATTTCCAAGCAGAACTGCATTCCATTCCCGGATCTGGCCATCAACACCTTGCACTTCAACATCTTGGAAATCTGACATGTCACCCTCTCCCCACAATTCTCTCCTTGCCAGAATCCTGGAGTGACTTTCCACTGCCTTTCAAGTTAACTCCAGGCCTTGAAAGCCAGACTTAAGACCCCCATGAGCTGCTTCCAGTCAGACACACCTCTTGGCTTTCAGGGGCCACACTATTACTTTCCTTAGGGAAGCCTTTCCCACCCAGCAGATGTCATGGCCCTACCACCCTCTGGACATCACTCTTTGCATTCACGGCCAGTTTCCCACCTCGTGTTCCCATCCCCTCCCTCATGGCAATCATGGTAAAGACAAAAAACCCCTAAGGAGCAGGGACCCAACCTCTCTACCCCACAGGGCCAAGCACATAGTGCTTCCTAACCTTAGTGGCTTGAAAAATGACAGGTCAGATCCTCCCAGAAGTGCAGAGGCCAGTTGAGATATCATTGCCTAGCCAGTAATCAGACTCTTCTCTCCACAGGCATCCATTAAACGAAACCTTGGTGATCACTTTTGAAGTCACATTTCGTTCAAAAAATGTTACTATCCTCGAGCTCCCTGATGAAGTGAGTGATGAATCTTACCCGATGGGTAGAGAACTGCTGGATAACACATTTTAGTTAAGTGCTTTTGGAAATAGGCCACTATTTTTATATAGTGGCAGCTCCAGCCTCCTCATTCTAGAAATCTCTAATTTTGTCTTTGTTGGTCTCTGAGTATGGGCATTTTGTGCCTTGTGAATGGAATTAGGAAGGTGAAGATAAGAAATCTGAGGCAAGAATGGTTCTGGGAATATAAAAGAAGTCCTTAAGATAGTTTTTTAAGATCTGCTTCTCAGAGGCTGTCCATGGACCCGCAGCTTTGTCCCTAGTTATAAGCCTTCTAGAAATACAGGATCCTGGGCCCCAGCCCAGAACTACTGACTCGAAGTCTGCTTGTGAGCAAGACCCCCTGTGATTTGAGTCCATATTAAAGTTTTTGAAGAAACACTATTCTGAGATTCCGCTGGTGAATCTCCAAACTCCCCTGCCAGTGGCTGTCTGTACAATAGCCACAGCTACTTATCACCTCTCCACGCTTATCTGCTAATCTATACTCTGCAGTCCACCTTATAAAAAAATGAGCCAACTACTAGATTTAATCAACTACATTAAAAAATAAATCAGAGTGTAAAGTAGGGTTTTAAAACAAAACCAGACAATGTGAATGCACACCTGGAGCGGCGGTTAATTGACAGTCACGCTGCAGGTCGCTAGACCCTGTGTGGTGGCAGGAATGGGACACCAGTGGGCCCTGCAAGCAGACAGCGTCCAAGCTTAAGCAGGCGGCACGTCTACTTAAAAAGACCTTGTCTGAGAGGACAGTCTCATCAGGGAATGCCATACCTTCTGAGAGCGGCCATGTCTCACAACTTCCCTCTCCACACCCTCCTTCCCAGCCCGGAGGCCTGCTGCAGGGTAAGAAAAGCCATTGGTTCTCACTGCAGGTTCTGACACTCAGCACTCTGGGGTCTGGCTTGATTTTCACATTAAACTTAGACTGAGGAGTGGATGTTAATCATTTAGTTTGGGGTCAGACATCTAAGTGAAAATACCACCTTTTTAAAATAAGTTAAAGTTGGGTGTAGTGGTAAGCCAAGAAAAATGCTGGTCTGTACAACTCTTAGTGCATAAGTGCCAGCACAAATGTCAACTCCATGGTGTTGGTCAGAACAGCGGTTTCCCTTAGGGGTCAGTTGTGGCTGGTATAGGACAGGGCTTCTGGGGTGCTGGATAGGCTCCATTTCTTGATTTGGATGCTGAATACACTGTTCTGAATATAGGCTCCAGCTCAATCTCTTTTTTTTTTTAATGTAACGGTGGGAGCCAGATCAGGGCGACATAACATGGGCACCAACCCACTTTTCCAGGCTGTGTCTCCATTCCCTCCCCTTCCAGCTCTTAACGACTCCCCTACCACCTGTGCCTTTGGAAGCCCCTGGATAAAACCTGGGGTCCAGGCATCTGGGAACCTGACCTGTGGGCTTGTGTGAGGTACTCCACCCCCATGCATTGCAGTTTCCTCATTTGCAGATCTAGGTTAATAATGTCAACTTGGTGGGGTTGTGAGGATTAAAGCAGTAACAAATATAAAATCTCTAGCTTCATAGCAAGCACTCAGTAAAAGACAGTAGTATTTTTGCTGTGGACCTAAAAGTGGTCTGCAAAGTAAAGCTGAAAAAAAAGGATAGTTATGATTTCGTTCTGCCTTATAGCAAGGTACATGATTTCTGATTGGTCAGTTTTCTTCCTGCCTAGTTTCAGGAGTGACTGAGTCATCACTACAAATATGCAAATGGCAAGGTCCAAAAAAATCTGTCAAAAATCAGGAAAAAAAATGAGCCAAGTGTATTTTTACCCTTGTCATGAAAAAGTAACTTGTAAGATGTAAACTGTAAGTTGGACTCTGGGCTTTGTAGCAGCCACTAACTCCATTTCAGTTGTTCTGCCTAAGTCCCCTGGTTTCTGGTGCAAAAAGTAAAGGCAGAAGCTTCAGGGGCCTTCATAAATAAGCCACTGAAACCCAGGGAGCCCCATCCTCAGTGCCTGCGATACACAGCTGCAGGGGGTGAGTACAGCATCAGCCAGGGAACAAGGGGTACGGTGTGGCTCAGTAAAGGGAACATCTCTCCCTGCCACCCAGGGAATTTGAGAGTATCCGAAGGAATAATGAGATCTGATGTTGCAGGAAGGCCTCCAAGTACTGTTTCTTGGAGCAGAGCTTTAGATAAATATTGGGTAGAAATGCAGGGAGGATGTTCTCCCTGCCAGGCATCTGGTGTGTCCCTCTTCTGTTTAGTCACTTGGCCGCCAGGCTGCCCATCCCACTGAGCATATTGAGGAGCCTTCCCACACTGAGGGAAGTAGAGGTCATGGTAGAGGTCATGGTGCAGTAGCAAGCCCTTCGCAGCTCGCTGTGAATCAGGATCGGAACCATAAGCTTTATGGACAGTTTGTCATTTGTGGCACCCCTGTAGACCCTTGTGTTATCCCCTTTTACAGATGAGAGACTGTGAGCCAAGCTTGAATAACTGCCCAGGATGGCTAGTGAGAGGAAGAGTGCCATCCCACCTTCCCTCAGAGCTAAGCCAGGGGAGAGCCTGAGGGCAGGGCCATTGTCATCCAGTTGGTCCATCCTCCCTCCTGTCTGTGAGCAAGCTCCTGGAAGGCAGGGACCATGAGTGATCTGTCCCTCCGTGCCCCAGTGCAGCCAGGAGCTGGATGCTCGCTGAGGTCCCAATAGCTACGTGGCACTGCATCCAATTCCATTTCCCTAACAGGTTGTGGTGCCTCCTGGAATGATAAATTCCTCTTTTCAAGTGACATCTCGAAATGTTGGACAAGTTACTGTTTACCTCCATGGAAATCATTCCAACCAGACCAGGTAGGCCGGCCAGGGCCCAACTGGGCCTTAATTGACAAGAAGGGAGGCAGTGCTGGGCTCGTGGGGGTTTCCTCCAGAAAGCCAGCCTCAGCTCACCCCATTCCCCAAATTCCTTTCAGCTCTAGGATAATCTTCTTGGTGGCCCACAGTAACCTCATTAGCATCATAAACCAGGTGATTGGCTGGATCTACTTTGTGGCCTGGTCCGTCTCCTTCTACCCTCAGGTGATCAAGAACTGGAGGCGGAAAAGGTAACCCCCTGAACTTGTGTGCAGATCCACACAGGCCAGTGAGGCAGCATTCCAGCAAGGCTGTAGGGCCGTGAGTTCAGGCTCCCGCCTCTGCTCTGCTCCTCTCCTGCCCTTTCTAGAAAGTTGTCTCATGTGAAAACTCTTAGAGCCCTGGTCTGCTGGCTATTTGGTCTCGTTTTTTATTTTATTTTTTGGAGATTGTTCTTATTACTCATTGTAAAGATTTTATTTATTTATGTGTAGAAGAACTGGGTGTAGGACATAGGTGGGGGATGAGAGGATTCACCGGAGACAGAGTGGGGAGCAGAACATGCAGATCTACTGAAATACACTGCTGAGGGGTGCAGCGGGCAAAGCAGGAAAGGTCTGCAGTACCATGTGGTTTAGCTCCCAGGCCAGGTAGTAAAAGCGCTGAGACTTAAGCCCTAGGCCACCAGGGAGGCCTCCTATTTGGTCTCTTGCCACCTTGAGCCCGTCCCTGTGAAAGCAACAAAACAGGGCTTCTCAGTAAAGTTGGAAAAGGGCTGGGGTGGGGGGAAATCCGTTGTTAACTGGTTGGCCCAACTCCTCTCCTGTGGGTTGGCAAGCTCCTGGAATCCAGTCCCCAGGGAGTTAGTGTCCAGCCATGCCACATGGCCAGAGTTGGACCCTTCGACCATGGACATTGAGTGGTCCCTCCTTGATTTAAGACAAAGTGGGCCTGGGTCATCATGCAGCAACGACATAGCCTCCCTGCGATCACCCCAACAATCCAGAGTTCTTGTGGGCTGCTGAGCTGGGAGCCAGGGAGGGAGATGCTTCCTCTCTGCAGGAGGTCTCCAGACTTCCAGGACTTGACAAGGCAGGAGAGGTCTTAGGAGGAAGGGAAGGGAAGGGAAAGGGAGGGATGGAAGGAGAGGGGAGGGAAGGGGGGTAGGGAAGGGGAAGGAAGGGAGGGGAAGGGAGGGGATGGCTCAGAAGGGTGGAGTTAGGCAGTTTCCATTGTGGTCTAGAGAGAGACTGAGGGACAGTGCTCTCCTTGGCAGAGCTAGGGCCTCCTTGTGTGCTGGAGGTCCGGTCCTGTTTCCTTCCATCCCCCCAGAGTCTCTGGCCTCAAACCCTGCTCTGCTTTGCCTCTCTGCCTCCCCCACCCCACAGTGTCGTTGGCTTGAGCTTTGACTTTGTGGCCCTGAACCTGACAGGCTTCGTCGCCTACAGCGTGTTCAACATCGGCCTCTTCTGGGTCCCCTACATCCAGGTATGGCGCTGTGCCCCCCACCACAGCCCAGCCCAAGCTGTTCAGCTTGACCACTATTCACCCCCAGCTTCTCCCCACATCCCAAACAGGAGCAGTTTCTCCTCCAGCACCCCAATGGAGTGAACCCCGTGGACAGTAATGACGTCTTCTTCAGCCTGCATGCGGTCGCCCTCACCCTGGTTGTCCTAGTACAGTGCTTGCTGTATGAGGTGAGACATGAGCCTGGTCGCTGCCCCACCATGCACACTCCCGCCAACACCCACCACCACACGCCATTCACACCTGCTGTCTTACAGAAGACAGAAACCCTCAGGAAGGAGAGGTGTTCATTCACTCAGCTCCTGACCACTGCAGCTCAGAGAACAGGCCAGGCCCCATTCTGGGCACAGTGAACACCCCATAAGCCCAAGTCTTTAGGCTCCCCAGGTCTGGGGTGAGGGACACGAAAGCAGTGACAACCCAGCAGACTGAGAGCTGTGTGGAGGGGAGAGCACAGGCAACCCAGAGGCCCTACCCCAGCAGGAAGGACAGGTGGTGGTCATTGAGGAAGTAGGGCTTAGCTGCGGTCCTAGGATGAATGCCATTCCCATGGCAATGGAGAAGAGGGCTAGGGTGGGCTCCCCCAGCTGGGGGACAGAACACTGAAGGCCCGGAGTGGAGGGTGGCAGTTGAGAGGAATGGTGAGCAGATAGGTATAGTCTGGGTTCAGGATGCCAGAGGGGAGAGGGTTCACAAGGGATCTGGAGGGCCAGGCTGAGGCATCAACTCAGCTGTGTTGCTGGAGGACCGGCAGCATTTTAGTGGGTAGGCTCCATAGGGTTGTTTCAGGGGATCCCTGACATGCACATTTGCTTTCACTTCCCAATGGGCACACCACTTCCCTCAGGTTGTTCCCTTTACACATGTAAGGCCAGCCAGAGGCTGCCTGGCCCCCCACCTTCAAGAACTTTCTAGGTTTTCTTGCCCCCTTTGTCTTGGAGTGTAGGTGAAGGGCTGGGGAACAGATTCCAGGGACCGTCAGGCTCCACCTGGGTCAGATGGAGCCTGGGCTGGGAGAAGGGGGCAGGCTTCCAGCATATTAAGTTTCTGTCCCCAGCACCCTTTGCTCCAGGTGGTTTCTGAAAAGCCAGTAGTGGAAGGAGTGTGGCTGGTACAGGTGGTGCTGAGCTCTCTGTGCCCTACGCTGTCTACTTCCCCTCCCTTCCCTCTCTCCACCTTGTCCTCAGCGAGGTAACCAGCGCGTTTCGAGGCCTGCCATCGCCTTCCTGGTGCTCTCGTGGCTCCTCGCCCTCATCGCCATGATTGTGGCCGCAGTCGGGGTGACCACTTGGCTGCAGTTTCTCTTCTGCTTCTCCTACATCAAGCTTGCGGTGACGCTGGTCAAGTATTTTCCACAGGTACTTTCAAGGCCTGTCTGCCTTTTCACATGGTGGTTAGCATGAGGGTCTAGAGCTCCACCCACTGGCCCTGCTCCTGTGGAATAGCTTCTGGCTGTTCAAGACTAGAGTGGAAATTTGCAATGGAAGCCACGAGCCCAGCAGAGCAGGGCTGGTCAGCAAGCCCGCCCCTTCCCTGGACCAGGAATCACACAGGGAGTCAATGAAGACCTCTGGGAGTCAGGAGTTAGTTACACAGTGCACACCCCTCATCCGAGGCATTCCTGATGACTTGTCCAGCCCCCCGTTTAACTGAGGTTCCAGACGAACAGCCGCAGGACACTTGGGAAAGATTAGCTAGGGGGAGGAGGCCCTCCAAGGCAACCTCCACTCCCCAACTGGAGGTGGTTTCCTCAGCGGGCCCATCGAAGGTCCTCTTAATGGACCCTGAGCACCTCCCTTAAGTACTCAGATCCCAGGATTTCAGCTGGGACACATTATCCCTCATTGCCTAATTGACTGGGCCAGGGTCGGGTGTGAAATGGCTGCCACCTGCAGACTCACCCATAAATGTAGGGCCTCGTTGAACTCACCCAGTTCTCAATGGAGAACCCCCTTTTCAGCCCCCAGCACCGGAGGCTTAGTTCCGTCCCTCAGAAAGAAGAGTGTTATGGTCAGAGTCAAGGCTAGTCTCCTGGAAGGTACAGAAATGGAGGGAGGCCCTTAAAGGGGAACAGGACTTAATTCTGTGGCCAAAGAGGCATTCTGTATTGGGGGCAGCCTGCACAAAGGAGCAGACAGGCAGAAAAGCATGGGAGGCAGTGAGGAGACCTTGGTGACTGAGCAGTGTTGCAGCTCAGAAGGTAGGGCCAGGCCCCAGAAGGGGGCTTGCGAAGGAAGTCTGGAGGGAAATGGGCCTCCATTCCTGAGCATGGGAAGGCTTGGGCCTGGGAAACCTGCAAGGCAGGAGCCCCCGCTGAGATGTTTGGAATCACCCAAGACTGGAGAGATGGCAGCAATTATGGAAGAGGTGGGAGGACAAAGAAGGGGACTCAATTGGTGGCTGATGGGGAGAAGACCTCTACTGAGGCCAAACCCCCTCCTGGCTGGTACTAGGGACTGGTACCACCAGTCACACAGGGCGCTGGTGTTGAAGGATGTGGGGCCCTTCAACAAGCAAGGAGAGGGACACAATTTCCATGGTGGCCTGGGATTCCCAGCTGGTGCTCATAAGCACATATCAAGCCAGGCTGAGTTTGGGGGGGAATTCTTCATTGAAGGTGAGAAGAAAAACCAGAGTTGCTGGCAAGCCAGGATGGAGCTCTGTACCAGCACAGGGAGGAGTGACCTCCCCCACCCTCTACCTGACTTGTCAAGGGTTGAGATGGGAGGAGGGCTCTACAGGCTGTGCATGCAGATGAGACCCTGGGACCCGCCCAAACTGCTCCTCTTGCCAGGGCTTGCTAGAGCCCAAAGGTCAATGTGTTCCTTGGAGCCAAGTCCCAGAACACACAAGTAGGAGGAATTAGAGCTGCTCTTGTTTGGAGTGGCAGTCACAAGGCCTCTCACCACCTCCCCTGTCTGTCTGAACAGGCCTACATGAACTTTCGCTACAAAAGCACTGAGGGCTGGAGCATTGGCAACGTGCTTCTGGACTTCATTGGGGGCAGCTTCAGCCTCCTCCAGATGTTCCTCCAGTCCTACAACAATGGTGAGTCATCCAGCAGGCTGCTGCCACCCAGAGGCACAGGGGTGGGGGGCAGGCTTCCTGAGACACAAACATTCCCATCCACTCCACCCCCACCCCAAGGGGAGACTCACCCATGGGCCTTTGCAGCTGGAGGATCTATGGGTTCCTGGGGTAGATGACCCTACCCCAGCACCCCACCTGCTCCAGCTGCTTCAACAACTGCCAATTCTTTCCCCTCTGGCTGTTAACAGACCAGTGGACACTGATCTTCGGAGACCCAACCAAGTTTGGACTCGGCATCTTCTCCATCTTTTTCGATATTGTCTTCTTCATCCAGCACTTCTGCTTGTACAGGAAGAAACCAGGGTATGAGCAAATGAACTAGTACCCAGAGATGCAGTATAAATGGACAGAGGCCCTGTGCCCTGGTGGGGAAGGCTGCACCAGGAAGGCTGGAGAAGTGGCCAGAGCGCGTGGTATGCCACAATGGAGAAGCGCTCTCTTCCTCAGGACCTAACGCCTTAAACATATACAGGCCTGCCTTCTTTCAGGACTCTCCCTGGCCGGGAAGGACCCCCCCCCCCACTCCCCTGTGCAACAGACACCTGACTCTGATCCAAGATTAAAAGCCAGACTGCTGGCAGCTCCTCCCAGCCTCCCCAGAAGTCTTAGCCCTTCCTGGGCCCTTCCGGCCAGACCTGTGGCCCTCCTGCAACTTGATGCCACATCTCTATTTTCTTTAAGGCTTTAAGGCAGCACGCACAGATTCTGAGAACCATCCCAGGCAGGACTGGGCACTGAGCTTGGAACCGAAGGCCTTACCCTAAGCAACCAGTATTTCTGGGAGCAGCTTGAAGGACTGACCTTGCAGCTGGGAGAGCCAAGGAACACTGCTGTGTTCCCAGAGACCAAGCAGCCAGGTGCTGTGGCCAATGGACTCAGAGGTGCTGGTGCTGGTGGTGGGTGCTAGACTTGGGGTCCCTACTCTGAAGGCCACATTCTCTAAGCACTCACATTCTGGACCCTCACTCATCTCTGTAACTCAGCTTTCATGTCTGCAAGCACAGGGAGCCTTGCCAGGAAGTGGTGTAGACAGTATTTCTGGACTTGAGGTGCTCAACAGATGGGGTCTGAGTAAGACAAGCCCAACACTCTCTACAACTCACACTAACCCCTTCTGGGTGTCTTGGAAGGAAGTGGCTTACTTTCCTTACTTGCCTTCTGCCTACCTCAACTTTGCCAGAGTCAGGGGCCTAAGTGAGTCCCTTCAGCTGCGTACACGCATTTGTATACACACACGTACTTACACACTCAGTCCGTGCCTTGGAGGCCTGTCAGACTTGCCACAGGGGAGAGCAACTCCCCTGGAGGAGTGGGCAGGCTGCCTCACCAGCCCCCTACCCGTGTCTTAAGTTTTTGGCTGTTAGGAGCCTCAAATGAGGACCTCAGACCACCTTCCACAATCCTCACAGGCCTAACCCTGCCTGGTCCCAAGCCCCTTTCCGCCCCACCCAAAGCAGTTGTCTTCCCCACGCAGGAGGGCACGTCCCAGGATGTGCCTTGTACAAGCCAAGTTTCAGCTTCTTTTGACTTCTTTAGATTAGTGTGCAGGGCCTATAACCTCAATTAAATCTTGATTTGTTTCCTTTCTACACAAACTCAGCATTTTCAGATGCAGGAGGGAAGTGTGATGGCCTCAGCGCCGAAGCTGTGGGGCTTAGGGAAGCGGCCTTCCTTCCTTACGTGGCGTAATGAAATGCGTGGCCTTGTGAGGTTCACTCTCTGGAGGGGGGCTACGTGCCAACCCAGCACGTCATCAGGCAGCTCTGATGGGCAGGGCCAGGGGCCTGCCTGCCTGCTCAGGGCCAGGTAGCAGGTTTCTGCATTGCAAAGACACGCCACTCAAGTTGTGGTTGTGAGCACGGGTTGGGTCAGGTCTTTAAGGGCATGCCAACACTGGGAAGGGGGAGTGTCTTATTTCCAGATTCTTCCATAACCATATTTAACAAGTTATCAAACAATTTAGGATCTTGTTTCTCTAAAGCAGAGACTGAAGCCTCGCCAAGCCCACAGACCTGTTTTACTGCGGCCACTCAGTACTACTGGGTGACACACTTTGAAAAAATAGGAGATCTCAAAAATCTGATGTGAAAATTTAAGGAATCTGATTTGGCAGTGCCAGCTGGGTCCACAGTGGCAACAATTTCCAGAAAGAGCTGTGCAGCCAGCACTGCCCTTCAGTGCCCTCCAGGTGCCCTTCAGTGCTCCAGTGCCTCCAGCTCACCCCATCTTGTCAAATCACAACCTCTGGGAACTTTTGGGGTTGTATCCCTGGCTGTGATAAACTGAATGTTCTTAAGAGTGGGTGTCTTTCCCGTGAATGTCTTGGTGTTCACGAGTCTCCTGCAAGTCGAAGCTAGGTTACACAAGGGAAGCTGGGGGCTTATGCCCCAATTCCAGTGAAGTTACTCCCAGACATTCCCACAGATGTGGCTTTCCCACAGCATCCTGTGCCTGGGGAATGCTGGGCTCCGTCCTGAGTGGCGGGGGCCAAGCCGGCAGGCAGTACCACCCGTGCTCTCTCAAGCCCACACCCACCCAGCCCTACCCCACGCCGGGGGTGAATTCCAGCACTACTTATTGAGCACAAGAGATCTCTACCATCATGGAAGTAAGGCTTTTTTTACTTGTTTGTGAATTAGTAAACTAAATACAAAGTAGAATTAGCAAATAGTAAGATAAAAACACTTTATATCAAAGTTGTGATTACAAAAATACAAAAGTTAAACCCACAGGTCTAGAGGAACATGGCAGTCCTGACAACTGCCCTGAAATGTCAGCCTCCAACCTCATCTAAATCCTGGATACAGGTGAGCCCTGGGGGACCAGCACCCCTGGGAAGAGAGGGGGTTTGATGGAGTAGACGGCGAGCCTGCCCGGCTTCCATCTGGGTGGGCCTTCGTAGTGGTCTGGCAGTGTGTTGTGTTGAGTCCCCTCTGGGCAATGCGGGGAAAAGCATAGGCCATGGGCACTGCGGGGCCAGGGCAAAGTGTGGGGCCAGATGGCCTCACCAGGTATTTTCCAGCTTTCCAGCTCTCAGGAAGTGGGGCCTCCCAATGGCCTGGACACTGCTGTGGTCAGGTAACGGGGTATGAGGGTCAAGCCTGTGGTCACTACAGACAGTACAGCTCCACTCTAGGCCTGTTGTTTCCAGTCTTTAGTATCCAAGGGAAAGAGCTGGTCCCAGAGCCTCAAGCCAGTAGTAGGAGAGGGGGAGAAAGGCTAGGTCAGGCCCCAGGGATCAGCTCTTGCCCTTCAGAGCTGGGGCCAGAACTCAGCAGAAGCCAGGATGAGGAACAGACAGCGTGGAGTGTGTCACTGTACAAAGAGGCGGCAGGAACGAGCTGGGGACCGCCTGGGCTGCTAGGACAGCATGGACTGCTGCACGGCCTTCTGCAGCGACTGCCGTGTCACTAGCAGGCGCACTACCTCCTCCGAGCGCTTGGTGAGCCGCTTCCGGGCCTGGTCATGTGTGACCATGGTCATGTCCCAGCCATTCACCTGGCCCAGGGGGAAAAGAGCCCATCTCAGCTCTCTGCCCTCCTGAATATGGAAGCACAACAGAGCTGCCTGGGTCATCCAAACAGACCCCCCCAAGCTGATGTCAGCTGGCTGGCGGGGGCATCAGGCACCACAGTTGAGAGACACAGGAGAAACCCTGCTTCCTCTGAGAGTAACATCAGTATGCCCTCCAGAATAGATTCAGTGATACCCCCAGGTGCTCCCAGGAGTGAGGGGCAACCCCCAACCCTGAAGTGCTTCAGGTCAGAAGCCCTTGTGACCCAAGCCTATGTTCCTCCTCTGGGACACCTGTTACCTGCATGATCTTATCTCCAATCTGCAGCCCAGCAATTTCAGCAGGGCCTCCTTCCGATACCCGTGTGACGTAAATGCCCTGGAAAAAGACAGTCCTGAGTCATCAACCTGGCCCCCTTAACCGCAAAGCAAAGCCCAACCTGCCATATTCCCAGTCACCCTTCTGTCTCTGTACCCAGCCTCCCCTAGCACAGGCTGTGTTGAGAGAGCCAAGAAGAAAAGTAGGAGGCTCCAGCTCCTGATGCTAGCTGCATCACAGATACTGTCTGAGCAGAACTTCTTAGGGCTAGGAGGTCTAGTCCTACCTCCACCCCTACCTATTCCCACCAGAAATTTCTTGGACCTCCTTAGGATTATTTGAAAGAGATGAGACCTGTTTCTTCCACCAAGACTCAGGAAGCAGAGGTGTGACATCTCAAGCCTTTGTGCCCTGTGGAGAAGTCCCAAGACCCAGATCCCCTCACCTTGTCTGTCTTATCTTCGGAGAAAGGATTCTGGGAGGGATCCTGATCAATTCCACCTCCAATGCTGAAGCCCAGAATTAAGTTCTCACCTTGCCGTAGCTTGTGAATTTCAACTCTTTGCTGGCAAAGAAAAAAAGAGTTGGGAATTGGTGGGTATGTAAAAAGTGAAGCTGGTCTGTCCCCAGTGGCAGCCTCAAGCCATTGGGCCAGCTCAGCCATGCCAAGGGTGTGGCTGCCATAGATGGGGGCCATGTCCCAGGGGAGATACTACACAGGGTAAGAGAGAGCAGGCCCTGAAAAAAAAAAAAAACCCACTCATACCTTGCTGAGGCAGCTCAGATTGCTGAGCTAGCCCTGTTATGGGCAATTAGGATATGCTCAGGGAAAGCAAAGAAGATCAAACTTGCACAGGGAAGAGAAGAGCTGTCCTGGCCAAGGTAACAGGAACAGAGATTTAAAGGTGCCATGGATACATGTTCTTTAGGCCAAGAGTACACAGTGCAACAGTCCCGGCCCTGTACCATGAGCAGTGTTTGGAGGCAAGGGAGAGCCCTAGGGCTCTGCCACAATGGGACTGGTGCCCCACTGTGCCAGGCTCTTTTTCAAAGTCCTCAGCAGGCACCCTTCCAGTCTTCAGATGCTGGGAACCAGGCCAGATCACTCTACCCCAAAGGTTGAGTTTCAACAAGTAGGAAGAAAAAAGCAAAAGGTGACCTAATTTGAACCCGAGAAGCTTCACAAAGAGGGATCATTTATACCAGGTCTTGGGGGGATGACCAGGAGTTTAGCCACCGGACCATGGTCAGGTTTGATGCTGGAGAGACCACTGAGGCAGACAATAAAGGAACAGATGTTTCACAGAGGTAGGATGTGGAGACCAAAGAGGTAGTCGTGTGGAGACATGACTACTTGGAAAGTGAGATCAACAGACAGGAGCACTCATGGCAGAGAGGAGTCAAGGGGCGCACCCAGTGTCCCGGCCCGGCAGAATACAACCATCTCTCCTGCAGGAACCCTGGAGGAGAAGCATGTTGAGTGCCAGGAGCCAGCCAGGCAAATGTTGGGAAGGCAGGTAGACCTATGGTGCCAGAGTTGAGGAGAGGCCAAAATGACTTAACATTCTCAGTCAACTACATGGGGAATGTGGGGGCAATGACTAGGGAGGAAGCCTCCCCATCCCATCCCCAATCCAAAACACTAGAGGGAGAGGCCAGACCCATGTTCAGACACGTTCCTAGTATTAGAAGAATTGGGAGGTCATAGACCTACAGTGATGATCTATAGAACAGCCATGAAATGAGACAAGGGAAGCAGGAGCTGGACCCCTGGGGTCCATTGGATCTAGCTCCTCAGGCTCCAAAGTGTGAGCTCCTCCAGGCCTCCTCCACCCCCTCAACACACACCCCCCCTTCCAGTATCTTAGCCTCACCCTCAAGGTCAATATTGGCCCTTGGGCTGTGAGACAAGGCCCAGTCACTGACTTGTCAGGCAGGGTACCACCCACTCTGGCCTTTCACCTGCACCCTTTATTTTCTAGATAAGAAGTAAACCTGGTTTCTTTCCTCTGGGGCAGCTAGTGATCTGGAAAAGCCAGGCTGGTGCATCTAGGGTGAATTTAGGACAGCTGTCAGCAGGCCCAGCAATGTTTCCCCCTCGTGAGCTGGTGTTCTGTGCTCACCCTCACATGTCATCTTTATCACCACACAAGCTCCCATCTGAGACACTGAGGCCAGCCCCATGGCCCCAGAGCTGGGCCTGCCACCTGACCCACTGCCTGCCTGGCAGGCATTTCTTCTCATAGACCCGTATCCTTCCTGAGGGCTTCTGCTAAGGCAACCAGACTACTCTCTGGGACCCAGTATACACCCCTCCACCAGAGGTGGCCTCTGGTCCCCATCCAACTGTGGCATCAACGCCTGGGTCTAATGTCCCTGCCTCCCTCTGCCTATTTTAATAGCGCCTAGCATCCAAGCCAAGCCAAGGGGAGAGGCAAGAACCTGAGCTGACCCTAGCTCCTAGTCTCCTCAGGCCCTGAGAGTCAGGAGAAGCTGAAACTTTGCCCCGGCTAGGTTTTCAGAGTAAGTTCGGTGCGCAATCTAATCAGCTGCACGAGCCATCACTCTGGACCGGGTGGGCCAAGGGGGCAACAGTGAACAGGAGGAGTAAGGGGCTGCTAGGCAGGCCCTGGCTACTAAGCTCCCTGAATCTCCCTTTGGGCGGCGGCACCGGCTGGAGCAGAGGAAGCACTTCCTCATTCCAGAGGCTGCGAGTCACCGAGGCCGGGGCCGGCGCCCGCCCCCCGCGGCTGCCCAGCTGGGAACACAGGCCAGGAAGGGGGCGCTTTCCCAGCCTCCCACAGCTGGGCCTTCCTCCTCCGTGCTCGGCCGCGGCTGTATGGAAGGAGTCCAGCAAGGCAGCGAAAGTGCGCAGGGTCTGGCCACGATCCAGACTCACAGGCGCTCTGGGGCGCACCCATCTGTTTCACGGCTGGAGGAGACCGCGGTCCCGCTCCAGCAGCGCGGGGACCGGAGCCCTGGACGCCAGTCTGCCAGAGCGCCGGGGTCGAGGTTTGGTCAACCTGCTCGGGGTGTCAGTTTGCCGCTCTGCAAAGTGGGGGCAAGTCAAGAGGAGGAGGAGCCCGCACGAGCGCACTCACCACCACGGCGGTGACCGGCTGGCCCGGGATGTAGGACATCTCGCCCCAATCTGGTAACCAAGCACCGCTCAGCGAAGCCGGCAGCGAAAATGCCCCCGGCCGCGCCCTCCCAGGTTAACAAAGGCAGTCCGGCCCGGAACGCCCCCTAATGAATAATTAATAATTCCTGGCCAATCACCGGCCGGAGCGCTTTCGGAAGTCCCACCGCGTGTGTAGAAAAACGGGCGGGAGTCCTCGAGGCGCCATGGCGCATGCGCTAGAGGGTGGAGGCGCGGGGTTGGCGCATGCGCAGCCCGGGCCCTCCCAGCAGCCTCCGGCACAAGATGGCGCCGCGGGAATCTCTACCTCTGACTGTCTGAGGGAAGAGCAAGTGACTGTCCGCCGCCTTGTTCCAGGTAACTGGGCGGGGAATGCAGGCGTGCCGCTGCCCTCCCAACGGCCCGAGCCCTCAGCCTTCTCAGTGTCTGGCGAACCTGAACTGGTGCGAGGTCTCGAAGGCCCAGGGGGAGGGGTAGCGTGAACCCAGTTCTTCAGGCTCCAGGCGCCACTTGTAACTTGGTTTTTTCCGTAGCTGCGTGAGAAAGCAGAGGCTGAGCCCGGGCGGGTGCGATGGCAGCTGTGGTGGCCAAGCGGGAAGGGCCGCCGTTCATCAGCGAGGCAGCTGTGCGAGGCAACGCCGCCGTCCTGGATTATTGCCGGACCTCGGTGTCAGCGCTGTCCGGGGCCACGGCCGGCATCCTCGGCCTCACCGGCCTTTACGGCTTCATCTTCTACCTGCTTGCCTCCATCCTGCTCTCCCTGCTCTTAATTTTCAAGGCGGGAAGGAGGTGGAACAAATATTTTAAGTCACGAAGACCTCTTTTTACAGGAGGTCTCATCGGAGGCCTCTTCACCTACGTCCTGTTCTGGACATTTCTCTACGGCATGGTGCACGTCTACTGAAATGGGGGCAGAGGTGACTTTTTATAAAAAACAGATTGGGAGGACTGATGCCAGAATTTAACACCGGGTAGACTTAGTTTTTAAATTGTTGAGTTCGCTGCTTGTTCTGTAACGTTATAAATAATTTCTATCTGAAGACGAAGAACCTGTAATATTCTTCAGATTAAATGAAGCGTGAGACACTTTGTGGAGTTTTTTCCTGCCTTACCTCTCATTTGCCATGGGTGCAGATTCTCCAGGTTTTAATTCCTGGAGAGCTGAAACTGGGTCTCAAAGCCATCTGTAATTTTCTTGCATTTGCGCATAGGCCACCTAGAGAGAGAGGCTGCTAAGGCCTAAATAAAAAATTTTACATCTGAAGAACTAATTGGTTAATATTCTGTGTTCCCTACATGCCAGGCATTGTGCCTTGTACCTTTTATACCCCTTGTCTTATTCTAATAATATTCTTATGGTGTAGATCAGATTATTATCCCTCACTGATGGACCTGAGGCTCAGGGAATTTAAATACCTCTTGTAGAGGAGGCATTAGCTGGGAAGAGGCAGAGCCAGAATTGCTTAATCCTTGTTGTGTATTGGGTGAGTGTATCTTTTCAAAACCCTGCCTTTCCTCCCACTAACGACTTCTTTCAGGTATGAATGGTGCCATTTCCATTCTGTTTCCCTAGTTACAACTAGCTGTGTTTTTCACTAAAAAGGAATGAATTCAAGCCCTTTTTTCTAGGATATGTCTGATGTCAACTAAACAGACTGTTTGGATGCTTCAGCTAAACTTTTGACTTGTCTCTCTATAACCTAATGTGTGATCACTTGCCCAGAGGGTTATCTTAGAATAAACTGCATATATATTGAGAAATAAACTGATTAGTTCTAGCAATGAACATGTTGCTTATAGAATTTGCACTCTAACTGGGAAGATAGAATCCTCTAATTTCACAAATACTTAAATTATGGTCCGTGCTGTGAAGAGAATACTTGGAAAGCCCAACCATAGCCCAGGTTGGGGGTGGGGTGAAGGAACATTTCTTTGAAGAAGTAACACTTGAGACCCAAAGACTGTTGTGGGGATGGGCATTACTTGCAAAAAAGTGCATGTGTGAAGAGTTGGCAGGAAGGAGATTGGCCTGTATCTGGAGACTAAAAAGAGGCCATAAGGTAGACCTGGACTGGCTCACGGAGGATGGGAACTTTGGCCTTGATCCTAAGAGCAGCTGGGGAAAGCCTTTGGAAATTTAATCTGGAGCTATGTGATCAGACTTGGGTTTTTTTAAAGTAATCTGTTTTAGATCAGAAGGGGATCTGGAATTCACATCCCCTTTTGGGTTCTGAACCTTATGTTTGCACAGGAAACCAAGCAGCCAGCTGAAGCTACAGCTCACCTCCTTCTCCCAGTGATCTCCTCAGAACCCTTTCTTTAACGGCCACTAAAGATGCTCACATTCTTGGTTTGCACACTTTCCCCATCCCCACTGCCTAGTCCTCTCACTGCCTTCTCTGAGTAGGAAGGCAGGGTACACCCCTCAGGCCCAGTAAGATGGAAAGAGGAGGAGGGGTGTTAAATGAGCTCATTAACTTAACCATTCCCTTTATTGTTAGACAGTAAGGTTGTTTGAAATGTTCACTATTAAAAATACTGCAATAATGTTTTCACACCTATATCATTTTTTAGGAAATTTATATAGTGTGAGATTAAAAACTTGATTTCAAATACCTTCAGTTTTATCTGGTCACACATTTAATGAAAAGTACCAGTTTTGTCAGTGCTTTCCTAGTCTTTTAATATTTACTCCTTTAAAGTTTTCTTTCCTTTGAATTTCTTTGCAAGATGTTCCTTGTTAGGAACATTTTGGTTCCTAATTGCTTCTTGTGTCTCCACTTGGTACTGACTTCTTATACATTCCTCCAAAACTCAAAGACCATGAAGATATGAAGGGGGAAAAATCAGAACACATTTAAAGTTAACAGCTTTTATTGTTTAATAATCAAATAAAAAGTCACAGAATATATACATTGGGCAGATTCCAGGAAACGTTTGCCATCTTCCCTGCCTTTAATTCTGCATAATGGCCTAAGGGGAAACAGGTGGCAGAAAGAGATGTCTTTTGGTGAGTGTTCTTCGGTCCACTGGTATACTATTCACCTCTGAAGGAATTTATGTGTCTTGGAGGGAGGGGGCAGGTTGGAACCAAGTGCAGCCCTTTTCTAGACATGCATGATGCCATCCAAGTTGGGTGATTTGGGGATTCTTCAGGGCATTGTAGACCTTAACTGAGGTGCTTAATCCCTAGAGGTAGTCACACTCCCAGTTTATTATTGTTCCCCCCATGGGGCAGCCAGCCACTGAGAAAAGAACTGATGAGGCAGCAGAGGCAGAAAGGCAGCTACGACTGGTCAGTCCTGATAACCCGTGCATCAGGAATAGAGGGCATTTTGCTCTTTCATGGTTGGTCCCCATGATGGCACATGGATAGCACCCAATTTACACATTGCCTGTTGGCCAGCATCTCAGTAAATCCTAGGCCTCAGGAAAATAATATGTAGATGGCTTGAGGCAAGGGCCTGGACATAAGCACAGGAATTCATGTGATCCTGGAATGTCAACTTGGAAGAGCTCTTGAGGCTGGCATATTCATCTTCCTGATGAGATAACCAGTGCCTTGAGACAGAGGGCCTTTCCAAATTTGGAGAATCCACGTTCCCATTTCTCATTTCAGAATGAGTTTCTGTGAGGTCAATGAGCCTCCCACTCACTCATGCAAAAAAACAAGGTGGGGGCAGGGGTGAGGAGGGCTCAGCAAAAGCAAGGAAACTTTGGCAACACCATCAGAAGCTATAATGGAGGTCACTGGCTTCCTGGCCTGTCATAGTGAGGCCTTCTGGAGAGCTTTACTGAACTCGAAACAGGTTAAGTCTATGCTGGTCAAATTTAATAGGGCGACCCTTAAAAAAATTCAGCCTGATGAAGAGAAAGCCTCACAAAACCAGCTCTAGTCACACTGCATCCAGTACCTCCATAGCATCTCTGCCAAAGCATGGTTTTTACAGGAGTGGTTCCCTTGGCAGGAATGCTTCTGCGCCTGGTTGGACTGCTACTAACCTTGCAGATTTCCACTGACATGTCACTTCCATGGGGAATCTGGCTATTCCTCACTAAAAATCCTGAAGGCGCCTTACTCAGTGGCTGTGTACATGACCATTGATTAAGTTCAGCTCCCCACTAGACTAAGCATGCAGTCGGAGTGCTGTGTGGCCCCCTACTGGGTCACTATCATTTAGTCCAACATCTGACTTAATAGGTGCTCAATAAATATTTGCTGACTGACTAACTGTAAGAAGACATGGTCAATTCTATATAATATAAAATAGTATGGGGCCTCCCCTGGTGGCGCAGGTGGTTGAGCGCCGCTCTGTGAAGCTGCCCGCAGCCTCGGCGGTGCCGGTTCGATCCCAGCCTGCGGGTGAGGGTCCCACATGGCGCGGCAGACCTCTCCTGACTCGCCCGCTGCTCCCCTCAGCAGTGTATTTCGTCAGTCTGCCTGTTCTGTCCCCGCTCTGTCTCTGGTGAATCCTCTCACCTTCCCGTGTATCTGGTCTGTACCCCGGTTCTTGTATAAAAATAAATAAATCTTTAAAAAAAAAAAAAAAATAGTATGGCTGTTCTCAGGTTCTGTGGCTGCTAAGCAATTCAGAAACATGTGAAAAGAAACCAGACCAGCTTCTAGGCAACTATAATATAACCCTTTTTACTTCCTCCCAAACATAAAAGTAACATGCTTAATCCTCAAATCCAAGGACTTGCTTTAGTGAGGAAGTGAAGCGCCACAGTGGATCGCCCAGAAATGTGTCAGTCTTTTCTCAAAGAGCAGGAGGGCCATGCTGCCAGGTTACCAGGTGCCAAGGTGAGGGAGCTCGGGATTCTGGGCCCAGGCCCCTCTTTACACAGGGACTGCTGAGACACAGGAGAGGGGGAAAGGGAGCTAGCCAGAACTTAAGCATCTCCCATTGTGTCTCTTTCTGACCGAGGAGACTTGGTCTGATGTGCAGGCATGAGGAAAAATTCATTTCCTATGGGAGATTGTAGGTAACCAAGAGGATTTTCAGCAAAACAAAGGAACCTCTTGAAATTGGTAACATAGGTTGCCTCAGAAAACAGGGTGTAAGGGAAATTTTTCACCATCTGTGCTTTTGGACCTTTTACATTTTGAATCATAAGTATTACCTAATTGAACTACATTACAAAGAAATAATGCCACTTTGCTGGGGGTGAGGAGGGGCGGGGAGGATCCTCTCTAGGTAGCACAGGTGACCTAGAAATTGGTGCCACCCTCAGAACTAGGACTTTGCATCTCAACCACTGCTTAGCACCGAAATCACCTGGGATTGTTGTTGAAATGCAGGTTCTGATTTAGGAATTGGGAGGGGCCTGAGGCCGCATTTCTAACAAACTCCCAGGTGATGCCGCTGCTGCCTGTCCAGGGACCACACCTGGAGCCACTGAGGGAGGAAAGCCGAGTTCTGCAGCGGGGAGAGGGGGTGGGATGGGAAAGACGGGGCAGGCATGAGGGGTGAGGGTGGCCCTAAAAACTTTCCACCTGCCAGGTGAACCCCATCAATTACTTAATTAACCCTGACTGAGCCTTTGAGGAAAGAGGGAGGGTTGTCAGGCAGGGACACCAGCCCTGATGCAAGCAAGATAGATGCTCTGCCCAGAGCTTCACAAGCTCTGGATGCAGACTGGAGCATAGGCCTCCCTGCCTCCTTCCCACTCCCTTATCTAGAAGCCCTATGGCCTGCCTCAGCCCTCCAGGACCCCCAGCTGCCTTCTGATGGGTCTTCTTTAACCACCTTTAAATTTCATCCTTGGGGGCAAGGCCAAATATCCCTTTGGATGCTGACCATAGCCTTTCTCTGAGGAGCCATCATTCTCTGCAGGGATTTGTGAAAGTCTCAGCTGAAGCTGAAGAAAGGCCAGAGAGGCTGGGCCAGGCTGTAATGGCTCTGGACAGAAGCCCCTCCCTGAGGGGTTGGTCATGGGCTCATTTTAGTGTCTCTTGGATGGGGCTCAGGCCACACAGCAGGCATCCAAAGTGTTTACGTATATAGGAATGAATGTCCAACTGTGTTCAGAAAAAAATAAAAACTCTCTAGAACCACCCAGGCCCCTGGCCTGCCTCCTTTCCATCTCCAAGGCCTCCTCTTCCAAAACTGAGCTACTCTGGCCAGTAGCTCAGTAGCTCCCCACCCCACACAACAAAGAGTTTGTACCAGGATTCTGAAGTACAGGAGAGACGCCTGTGCCTGAGATCCCCCGTCCAGTGCCGCACAAAGGGGACTTTGCAGTTCAGAGCTGGGCTTTCTGCCCCCAGAGTCTTCACCAAATCTGCTCTCGGCCAGCACCTCAGGCTATGCCTCCACTGTCTGCGTGTTCTGCGTGTTCTTCGGCTGCTTCGCATTCCCCTTTCCATTCCCAGGGTGGCTATACCTGGGGGAGGGAGGGGAGGCACACAGAAGAGAGTTGGGAAAGCCTCCCTAAAGGTAGACCCCACCCCCAGTAGCCTCTGGCTGGTGCACTGCAGGCAGGCAAAGCATTTAGAGAGGCAGTTGGTGGGGGTCACTGGCAGCAGGTCAGACACATGTAGATGCTCAGGCTGAGGCTCTAGAGCCGCCCCAACAAAGAGCAGCAACTGTAATGACAGCCCAGGTGAGGCTGGGTCGAGACCCACAGGGTAGCCATTCTTCCCTCTGACAGGCTAAGGAGCTTAGGGCAGTACCTGAGAAGTGACAGCTCAGATAGCTCACGGGAGGCTGCTGAGCCTCAGTACCCCAGGGGATCCCCCAGCCTTCACTGCCTCTTTGCCTGGGCTGCTGCAGCCCCCAGCCCTCCATCTGTCTTCCCTCATTGCTCTCCATCCCATTCCATTTCTCTCCATCCCTACCCACATCTGCCTTCCAGCTGTGGCTGCCAACCCTAGAGTCAGCACAGAATGAAAGCTGGGGGTAGAGGAAAGCCCACCGTAGGACAGTTACCTCCTGGGACATGGTTTATAAAGAGGACAGCCACGGAACCCTAGTCTTGACAGAGCAGAAAGGACCCCTATGGCCAGCCCTCACTGCGGGGGGAAAAAAAAGGAGAAAACAGGATCCTCTTCTCCAGGGCTCAATCAGGGCTCAGGGCTGGGATTCAATCTAGGCAAGTAAGGCAGGCTGGCCTGAAGCCTCTGTTCCTGGAGGGCGCCATGGTGCCTGTCCAGAACCCACCATCTGCAGTTCTCATTCCCAGAGCCTCCAGAAAGTCTTCCCCCAAAGTCTGGGTCAGAGCCTCTGGCCCCTTCCTTTCTGTCCACAGACATCAGGATTTCCCACTCACCCTGTGTTCATCTGGCTTGCGTGCGCGCACACACACACACACACACACACAGAGGCACACAGGCTTGGCCAGTCACCTGCTCCAGGACACACAGCAAGGCAGAGGCAGCACATGGCTAAGGCAGCTGCAGAATTCCCACATGGAAAAGGGGCATAAGGAAGTCAGGGCATGGTGGGTGGAGGGGGTTGGGGGAGGCTGGATAAGGCAGAATAATTTGATGCAGAACTATTCAGATACACACTGCCCAGGTTCAAATCGCAGCTCTGCCATTCATTAGCCATGTGAGGAGCAAGTTACTTAACCTTCCTGTGCCTCAGTTTCCTCCTTAGTAGAGGAGGGAATGTTAGTGTCCACCTCATTAAGGGCTGAAAAGCGTTAACATACAGAGAGCTCAGAGCAGTGCCGGACAGAATAAGCCTGAGGACATAATAGTGCTGTTACTATCTCAAGCTGGGGTAGCACAGCAAGCAGGCAGGTTTGTGGTTACTTAGGGGTATTGGGGGTCTAGTGGGGATCATGAAGGGGCTGAAGCACCAGTAGCATCCCCTCCCCTTAGAGTTTAGCTGGAATCCAGGGCTCTCCTGGGTCCTCAATAACATGCCTTGTGACCAGGTCACTCCAGAGCAGGCAGCAGAGTAGCCAGCTGTGTCTTCCAGACTGGGTGTTGGCCCTCTGCCCAGCAACCCCTCACCTGGACTTGGGGAGCTGTGGGCACTCGCAACCACTCCCCTTCTGGCTACTGCCTCCATCTTGTGCCTCAGGCTGCTCCGGCAGCCCCGACCCCGCCTCCTCATATTCTGCCTCTGGGGTCTCAGCCTGCTTCGAGGACTCTGCAAGCCCATCGAAGACCCCTCGGTCCCTGGGCAGGACACAACCTGTTAACCCTGACCTTAGGAGCCCAAACCTCCTCCCCCGACTGGCAGGGGTGGGCCCTGAGGAGTCACTTGCCAGTTGGAGGCACCCCTCTTCCTCCAGCAACTCAAGACTGAGGTTCGGTTGAGGCAGTTGACTCAGGCTCACCCACAGCCCATTGTCCCAGGCTGTGGTGGGTCTGAGGAGCCCCCTGGTGCCTGGCCAGGGCCCACCATCTGCGATTCCCCATCCTAGTCCCAGATGGATCCTCTGGGAAGCCTTTCCCAGTGGCTGGGATAAGCCCTTTGCCTTTTCCTCCCACCTAGAAACATCAGGATTACCCACTCATACCTTGTTCCACTGTCCTGAAACACACATACACACGCACACACACACAGCCTAGGAGAGTCTGGGAATACGACCCCTAAAAACAAATCTTTTTCTCCCCTTACCTCTCCAAATTACCTCAACCCTAACCTACCAGGACCTCTAAGTCCAAGAACCCTAAAATTAAACTGCATATATAAACCAACTCTCTTATTCCAGAGAGAGAAACTGAGGGTCAAGGAGACCTGGGACTTGTCCACAGTCATATGTGGAGACAGTGCCAAAACTGGGCCTGGAAACCAGGTCTCCTGCCCTCAGCCTGTGGTGGCCTTTTCTTCTGTCAGCTTCCCCAGGACAGAATCCAATTGTATATAGTCCTTACCCAGAAGATTCCAGCTTCCCCAGCTTACCAGGGGAGCACCCCATGGTTTAGCCCTGTCCCCACACCCCAGCATCAGTATCAAACCAAAGTGAAGGTTCCAAGCCAGGGAGAAAGCATAACTGACCTTACTGTCTCGTACTTCTTGTCACGGTAAAAGTAGCTTTTTTTAATGAAGTAGATGAGTACCAGGTCACAGATGAAAGACCCCTGCAATAGAGTTGGGGTTCCTGACTCAACATCCTAGATTTCAGGGGAGCACCCAGACACCTGTACTTACCACTTAGGTGATCCTCCACAACCTCTGAGGGGTGGGGAAGCAGGGCTCAAAAGAGGCACCTTTGTCCAAGGCCATAGGCCGGGGCATCACAGTTAACCTAGAGTCCATCTGACCCCATAGTCAAGCACCCCGCAATTACAATGACCGCATCAAATCACGTCTTCAGCAAATGTTTGCTGAGCTCTCGCCACAGGCCAGGTGCTGCACTGGGGTGCAGGGGAAGTGAAGACAATGGGACTGTCTGGGGACTCTCCCTCTGGTGGCAGAGACAAGCATGCAAATTATGACAGAGCCACCTGACCTGCACTAGGGAGAGGAGCAAGGGGAGCAGAGAGAAGAGGATTTGACTCAGCCTGGGGAGGAACATCTGGGCTGAGTGTGGAGGGCTGAACAAGGGTTTATAAAAGGGGGTGGGGGGATACAAGAAGGGCATTACAGAAGTAGGAGCGAGTTTATCATGCTTGGGCTGTTCCATAGGGCCTGCAGGGGACACTTACAGAGAGGCAGATGGGGACCAAGGACTGTAAAATTTAGAATGTCTTCTAGGCTTTGGTAGGAATCCCTTAGAGGGAGACACTGAAGGACTGTGAATGGGGCAATACCCCACCAGAACTGTGGCATTTTAGAAAGATTCCTCTGGTAGTCAGTGAGAGAGGTGGACTGGAGGGGATAGAAACAACAAGGACACGACAGCGGTGGTCAAGGGGACAGGAGCTAACAGCTAAACCCACAAACGTGTGCACGCATGCGCCTCAGGCCAGAGCCAGGCTCGTGCAATACACATCTTCCCCACCAGAGGGCGCTCCACCCACAGCCCCGAGGGGCGGGCGAGGGGCGGGCGAGGGGTTGACGGATGGGTCCATAGGTGAGCCTGGTCCTGGGCCGCAGGGCACTCCCCACCCCTCCTTGCCCCAGGAATGTTACTTATCAGTCCTTGTTCCACAGAGAACATTCCTTCCAAGCCCAACCAGCTGTACCATCATTTTTCCCATTACCTGCATTTTCACACGCAAGTCTCCCAGATGTCCCTGTTCCGATTTTACCCATAGAAGAAACGGAGAGCTAAAGGTGGCGCCACGCCCCCCCACCCCCGCCCCCAGCTAAAGAAGGGCACAGGTACGAGCCTGCAGGGTGCCCTAACAGTGATGTTTGGAGTGAAGAACCATTTGGGGCTCACTTTCATCGCCCTCACTTCAGTCCCCTCAGGAGGTTGGCCTCTGAATCCTGTTACAGGACAGTTTTCCTAATCTCAAAAAGCCCATCCTAGCCCCTCCCAGAGGCCTCCCATTGGGTCTTTTGTGGTCACTGGGGCAGAGGATTGAGGGAAGAGGCTGCCAAAAACCCTGGCAAGGGGCCAGCCACTCACAACTCCAGGACAAAGGGGCGTGAAGAGATTTGGGGAACCTTTCTCTGCCCTCCAGCAGTACTTCCTCTGCTGTGAGCCCTCTGGGCCTAGAGGGAGGGACAGACCTGAGGAAGGGCCACACTGACTCCCCTGCCTCTCACCTTTTTACCCAGTGGTTCTTAACTGGGGGTGATTTTGCCCACCACCACCACCACCACCACCCCCCCCTAGTGGACATTTGACAATGTCTGGAAACATTTTGGGGCACCACAACTAGGAGAGGTGGAGTTGCTGGCATCTAGTGAGTAGAGACTGGGGGTGCTGAAACATCTTACAATGCACACACAGCCCCCCCCCCAAAAAAAAAAGAAGTTTCTGACCCTAAATATCAACAAGGTTACAGCTGAGAAACACTATATAGCTGCAATGGCAATGAGGCTTAAAAAGTTCAGGAGCTAATGCAAGATGCCAGCACCCTACTCTTCCCCAGCCCCCACACCTCCTCCCCTCCAGCCCCTCCCACCTCCCAGAGCTCCAGGCAGATGACTCTGGCTTTGGAAAGAGAGACAGGCAGTCACAGCCACCTGAGGGATGCGGGAGGGTGTAAGTTCCAGAAGGCCCTCTTCACCCACACCCTGCTCATTCGCCAGCTCTGGTTCTTTCTTGGACATGGGGACAGCTCCTCTGGGGCAGTTGCGAAGGTAGGAGAGATACTCACAATTCCCATGAGCGCCACCCCAGAGCCCACGTTGATGATCGTGGGGATGATGCTGAACTTCCCTGCCTGAAGCACAGAAAGACAGCTGGGGAGGTGGGGGGGCCAGGGAGCACAGCGGCCTCCCCAGGGCCTTTTCCATGCCCCCGTCCCCACCACAGCTGCCCAGCCTCAGGATGGGAGAAGCCCCTACCCCCAGCACTCCCCATCCATACACACCTTGCCGACCACCATCACATCAAAGCGGATCCCATAGGCTTTGATGAGGGTGCGGAACTCCACCCCAGCAGCATCTTGGTAGTATTTGGCAAACCTGAGGGAGACACGACTCAGGGGAGATCTCAGCTTAGCTGGCCTTCCCCACTTGGCAGCACACGCTAGGCTGCTTTAGCGATGTATAAGCACTCCCGGGACCCCGACTCAGCAGCCCCAGGAGCGTGTCAAACCCTCCTGCTGACATTACATCAAAGATTCATCCAGGTCCTTGAAATCCTAGCTGGACAGTCCTCAAGAGGCAAGGGCTGCCCTACTACACGATGGGGCAATCCTCGTCCCCATCAAAGCTCCTTTGGAGCTCACCCAGCAGAAAAGCCAGGCCTCGGCTCCCTGCACCTCCTCACTGACATCCACCCCCAGGGAGGGGTGTCTCAGTGCTGGCACTGTCCCAGGAAAGGACACAAAAGGTGGTCAGGTCACAAGGTGGCAGGCCCAGCCCCAGTTACCTGAAGTTATACCCAGCGGAGATGGAGCTTTCTGAAAAAGTATCCAGACGGTTAAAAGAATAGCGAGGGTTGCATTCAGAGGGCGCTTTATCAAGATCACAGTCCCATTCAATCTTAATTCCTATCACACCACCCTTGATGAAAAGGAGGCAAAAATCAGTGCACAGAACTCTGGCAACGGACAGAAATTCTTCATGGAGAGCTGGACAAGACGGGGGTGGTGCCCAGGCACGAGGTAGAAGGCCCAAGGTGGAAGTCACCTCTGAGTGACAAGGAGCTCATCACTGACAGCTCCCAGCCAGCATCCTCTTTACCTCATGCTTCAGGGGAGAAGGGGACTACCCAAGGGAGCGCCCTCTAGGGGACAGGTCCCCTACAGGAGAGAGGGCTCCTGATGGGTGTCAGCTGATGCCCCAAGAACTAAGAACCAGGCTGCAGTACTAAGAGGACCCCTCACCTAGTGCCCAAGGCCTCGTGCAGGCACAGCTGGCCTGGCCATGTCACAGCTGGGTCAGGTGACTGCAGGACCAGCCCACCCCATAGGCCCCCACACCTCGTTGCCTAGCCCAGCCCAGGGAGGGCTGGCAACACACCACCCACCTGCAGCGCCAGCTTCGTGAAGTTGCTCCCCGCCCAGCGGACCATGGACCCCAGGCGGAAGATGGGGCAGTAGGGGTTCTTGAGGTCATATTGACAGGACTTCAGGAAAGTTCTGTCTTTGGTGTCCAGCACATTGGTCCTGTGTGGAGGCCATGAACAGCCAATGAAATGAAAGTGAGACTTGCTGTTCCCTGGCCAGGGTCACTGGGCCCCTCAGCCAGCACAGGCCGAGTTCCTGACTTCAGCCCCTACCTGAGTCCTGACGGCTCCCCAGACCCTTCTTACATCCTTACATTGAGGGACAGAGTCCACCCCAGTATCACCCACGGTTCATTCTGGCACAGATGCCACACACACACCATGCACAAGGGCCTGCCGAGCCCCCTCCCCGATCCCCAGTAGCCAAGCCCCACGTACTTGGAGAAGTTAAATTTGGGGAAACGAATGAAATTCTTTATGTAAATGGTGAAGTCTTCAGCCTTGCTCAGGAGCGGCTTCCTGAAAACCAAGCCGGGACAGTCTGTCCAGGAGGCTCTGCCCCCATCTTCCGTCCCTCCCCCAGGCCTGGGTCCCCTTAATCCTTGGCCGAGGACAGTTCGTGGCTCATGTTGGGGTGGTCCCGAGAATGAGGATCCCAGAGGGCATGTCTCCACCAATAAGATGGGACCTACTGCCCAGGATGGGGCACCCCAAGGCCACGGCCACTCACGTGGGCCTGGAGTTTGTCTCCACTGGGCACCAGGCGAAGATCTCACAGGTGCCAATTGGCATATTCTGTGCCAGCAGGCAGCGGCCAGTCCTCACCCCTGCAGAGGTGACAGGGTCAATGCCAGAAGCCTCCAACTCCAAACCCCTCTGCCCCAGCCCAGGCCACTCTTGGCTTCACCATTTCCAGCCAAAACAGGCTCCCCTGAAGGGCAGTCACTGTCCTTGTAGCAGGCGGCTCCAGGAATGTCTTCACTCTGCCGGGAGAAAAAGGGGCGGGTGGGAGTTCCCCACAGGAGCCCAGCTCAGAGCAAGGTCCCACCTGAGTTAGGACAAGGGTTCTCCCCCTGCCTGGGGTCACACACCCTGTGGGAACCCGCATCTCCCCCAAACCATGCAGTTACTACCCCAGGGCACACACCCGGAGCCCTCCCACCCACTCCCCGGCTCTCTGTGCCAAGTCAAACCTCAGCGCAGACTGCCTGCCGCTGCTTGGGGGTCACGATCAAGTTGGTGACTACGAAGAAGACGTTCTCTCCCTGAGGAACCAGAGAGGGGTTGAGGAACCCCCTGCTTTCTTGGGGGCCCTTCCCGTGGCTACCTGGCAGGGGATGGGGTGTCTGCAGGATATTGGGGATAATAGGGCTCCCAAATTCGTGGATCCCGCCCATCTGCCCAATGACCTCAGAGTCCTTGAGACCTTTGATAGGTCCCATCGAGGCCTACAACCCCAAACTGTCCCCCACTTCCCACAAATCCCTATTCGCACCTCAACCCTGGAATCCAAGTCCAGAGCTGGGAAGGGGAAACCATTCTCAGCAGCAGAGGCTAATCTACAGGAAGGGTTCTCTGTGCCAGGCCCCCTGACTCCCAGTGACCTACATGTTCTCTGGGCACCACTGGTCTCAACAGGCTCAGGGCTTGTTGGGAACTGAGTAGGACCATAAGGCACAAAGAGAGGGGTTGGTGTGGGGCAGCATCTGGGCAGGGTCTCTAGCTCCTGGGCAAGAGAGGCAATGAACAGAGGCCCCAGGTCCCGGAGGAGTTTCCCGTATGACCCTCCCCCTCAGTCAGGTCCCGCAGCCTGGGCCGCAGTGCCAGGTAGGGCTCAGACCTGGGGTGGGATGACGTAGTCGACAACATCCCAGACCCGCTTCCCAAGCTCCGAGGTGTTGGTGAAGGCCACACCCTTGACTTTGGTGATGATACTGCTCTGCAGAGAGGTGTCGGTGTCTTGGTAACCCTTCTTCACCAGGAACACCCAGCTGCAGGAAGGGGCCCAGCAGGTGGGCGTCAGCCTCAATGTGGCCCTCAGGGAAGTTTCCCAGACCCAAGGTGGGGTAGAGACACAAGGTGGGGCAGGGTCACAACTCCCACAGCTGGGGAAACCCATCCTGCAAGCAGCAGAGGCGACAGGCAAGCCTAGAGGCAAGAGACTCTGCTCCAAGGAAGGGGGCCCTGCAACCAGGCAGGCCTGGGACGAAACCTTGCCACCCACCACCTGGCCGGTGACCTCAGGAGCCAACTCCAGGAGTTACTAGCGGGATGAGGGCGCCTCCCTCCTGGGGGTGGGAGAAAAGGGCGTATAATCTGAAACTAGTCATCAGGGGACCTCAGACAAGAACAAAGGGAGGAGCATTCTACAACATAGGGCTGCAAAATCCGGCTGGACTTCATCAGAATTAAGAACTTCTGTGCATCAAATGATACTATCAAATGATACTAAGAAAGTGAAAAAAATAACCTACAGGATGGGAGATAATATCTGCAAATCATGTAACTGACTTGCAAGAGCCTAGTATCCAAAATATGGAAAGAACACTCAACTCAACATGGAGAAGAGAAATAACCCAACTGTAAATGGGACCAAGGATTTGAATAGACATTTGTCGAATACAAAAAACAGACAAAACAAAACCTATATAAATGACTAATAAGGACATGAAAAGAGGCTCAGCATCACTGGTCGTAAAGGAAATACAAATCAAAAACACCAGGAGATATTACTTCACACCCAACAGCATGGCTGTCAGCTGCTGTTGCCGGAAACAGACTGGTAGTTCCTCAAAAGGTGGCAACCCAGCAACTCCACTCCTAAGTATATCCCAAGAGAAATGAAGACATAGGTCCACACCAAAACTGTGGATAAATATTCCTAGTACTTTGCAGATGATATATTATATATATGTATATGTAGGATATATTATATATATGTGTGTAAGCTATTTATATATAAATATATATATTTATATAAAAATATATAAAATATATGTGTGTAGGCTATTTATATATATTTTTTTATATATATATAAAATCCTAAAGATTCCATCAAAACAAAAAAAAAACCTGATAGAACTAAGAGATGAATTAAGTAAAGTGTTATTCCTAACAGGTAAAATGCAGAGACGGTCCAAATGCCCAAGCGCCATCATGGGGCACTTTTGGTCAAGAAGGAAGTCCTGATTCACGCCAGGCCATGGAGAAGCCCTGCGAGGTCTGAGAGGCAGACCCCAGAGAGAGAAAGGTCACATAATGTGTGATCTGACTCGTCTGACATCCAGAATAGGCAACTCCACAGAGACAGAAAGACCACTGGTCAGGAGGGGAGAGTCAGGAATGACTGTTAATAGATACAGGTTTCTTTCGGGGCAGAAATGTTGGCAGAAACATTCTGGAGTTAGAGAGCGGTGATGGTTGTACAACATGTAAATGTACTAAAAATCCACTCGACTGAATCATTTAAATGGTTTAAATATTGGATTATATGTATGAGAATTATTTCAATTTTAAAATGTTTTTTTAAAAAATCCTGTCCTCTTCGGATAATGTCAACATCTTGAAATACAAAGACGGACTCAGGAAAAATTCCAGATTAAAGAGGACCTGAGAACTGAATGCAAGGCATGATTTCAGATTTTTTTTTTTGGATAAAGGTAATTATTGGGGACAATTTATAAAAGGTCTATATATAGCTTAGATAATATTATTTCAACACTAACTTCCTAATTTTCATACTTAAACCTGGCTAAATAACCTTTCATTTACACACCGATTTAGGAGTAAAGGGGCGTCATGTCTTCATTCTACTCTTAACAGTGAAAAATGCTCCTCCTATGTATGGGGGGGGGGCGAGAAAAAGGGAAGAAAGCACAAATGTAGAAAAATGTTAACATTTGGGGAATCTAAGTGAGAGGAATAAAATGTTTTTGTGCTCTTCTTTTATAACTTTTCTATAAGGCTAAAATTATGTCAAAACAAAAAATTTGTGTAATGCGATCACACATAAATTGCTCAGCACACGGACCGCCTGGCATAGACCGCCTGGCATAGAGCCAGGGCTCAAGCAATGCAAGTCATCACCTTACTGTTGACACGACCATTAATGTTGAGAATGACTTTGCTAAAGTTGGGGGGACTAAGGCCAGGAAGTGGCCTGCCTGAGGTCGTGCAGTAGTGGTGTGGGATGCCCTGCACCTCCCAAAGTGTGGCCTCTTCCACCTAAGGCCTCTGCACCTGTGCGCGCATGGCCTCTCTATGCACCTAGGTGTGTGTGAAAGATTTGGATAAGGCACTCCCGCATGACTGCCTTGAGACAATGGCCCACATCACGAGGTGGCCAGGGACACCTAGATAGCCACTGACTGTATGGTCAGGGTCCGAGATGGTCTGGAGTAGCTCGGAAATGACACCAAGCACCTGCACGGGAAGTCCTCCCTGTGTAAGTGATGGACATGTCCCCTCCTGCTCCCCATAAAATTGATTACCCACTGATTCCTTTGAATTTCTGTTCCCCATAAAGATGAATACCCTTTTTTTTCCCCTGGACCCTGCTTCTCCTGCCATTGTCAAATAATCAATCATGCTTGTTCATTATTACCAAATAGATAGCAAGAGGGCTGCTCACTGAGCAGCAGAGTCTTGCCTTGCAAACCTGCTCCATGACTCGCCCCTCAAACATGTCCCCGGGAGCGTGCTGGCGTGCTCCTGACCACCAGACCAGGGTGCCAGGGTCCTCTGTTCAGGGGGTGCCCACCAGGATGCATCCCCCTCCTCAGCTCTGGGTGCAGAGTTGGTATGTCCTAGACTCCCCCATCTTTAAAGGACTCTAAGGGACTGTGACACTTGAGCTGACCAGTCACTTTAGGATGACACACTGGGGTTGGCTTGGATGGAAACATTTAGCCAATACAACATTCATTCACTCATTCATTTCATACCGATTCGCTAAGCATTTCAGCAACACTAGACCCCGTCATCACAGCATCCCTAAACTGGCAGGGAGTCAGATGCCGACATTAAGCAAGTGATCCCCAAAATAAGCATGTAATTACACTGTGGGAATGCCAAGGAGGAAGAGGAGAGGGAGCTATGGGAGAATCCAGGTCTGGAGGGTCGACAGGTGCTAACCAAGTAGAGAAGGAAAGGTCCGCCTGGCTGAGAAACAGCATGTCCAAAGGCCCTCTGGCAAGAGGCAGCCAGCTACCTGAGGGATGAAGTTCATGGTGTGCTGGCCTTGGCCTCCAGGAGGGAGAACGCTGAGGCCAGGCCTGCCCTCCCAGTCAGGAATAATGACTCAACTGGCATTTACTGAAGGTGTAAGACAGGCACAGCCGCATCCCAGCCATCTGGTGTCATTACCTCCCACCTCAGGAGGAAGACTGCCTGGCTGAGCAACTCCAAGGAACTGGCAGGGTGGAAGATGAAGCTGGGTAGGGGGTAGAGGGTGCTGGGCAGGACCCCCACCTGGATACCGGAGGCCAGCCACTGGTGGGGTGAGCTGACCAGAGGGAGTTCTGGGACATGCCAGGCTCATGAGTTGCCCCAGTGCGAAGCTTGGCACTGAGCTCAGTGATTATAAATAACCTCTCCGGCGCCTGGGCTAGCACCAGACCAAGGCCCAGGGACACTCCCGGGGCACAGCTGCAACCCACCCCTGCATCCCTCCTCCCTTCCCACAACCCTAACCCTGGGGCCCCAGCCCTAGAGGAAAGAGCTGACCATGGAAGGCCTCGAAAATCAAGGAACCAAAAGCCACTGCTGGCATCTCATCACCTCCAGAGCTGGGGCTCCCTCCTTGTCCCCCCACCCTTACACCCAAGGGCCCAAGGAGGGACCCCTCCCCAAGCAGAGCCATCAGCCCAGCCCCAGAGGAAACCAAGCACATACAGCCAATTACTGGGGGGGGGGGGGGGAGTAGGGGAGAAGGCCCAGCTGCGCCCGCCCCCGCCTCCCCCAGAGCCCAGGAAGAACTCACATCACCAAGTACGCCAGGATGGAGAGCTGCACCAGCCGGTAGAGCAGGCCCACCTTCTTGTTCTTGACGATGACATACTTTTCGGTCTTGTAGTCGAAGAGCGACTGGTAGAGCCCCTTGCAGCCCGCCTGCCCCATGCTGCTGCCTCCCGGCGCGGCTCACCCTGCAGCCTCTCCCGGGCGCGCGGACGGCGCGGCCACAAGCGCGCCGCATGGAGGCCGCCCGGCGCTCGCCGCCCCCCTGCCCCCACCAGGCGCCCGCGGCGGCCGCGCGGCTCTGACCTCGGCTCCCACCGCTCGGGGCGGCCGCAGGGCCCGAGCGCGCCGCCGCCCACCGCCGTGGCTAAGAATAATGACAACGCGGGGGCCGGCGGGGGCTCGCACCGCGACCTTGTCCCGCCCGGGACGCCGCCGGCCGCGGGCCTGAGGAGCCGGCAGGCGGGAGGGGAAGGGGGCAGTGCGGGGGCGCAGCGCCCCTTGGCTTACTCCTGAGTTGGTCTCCGGGTTCCTGCTGTTGACTCGATGGGGAAACCGAAAGGAGAGGCAGGTGGAGGTGCGGAAGGGGTGGGCGCGTGTAGAGAGACGCAGCAGGACTCTTGCTGCTTCAGGCTCAGGCTGGGGGACTCGAGACCCGCCCCCACGGGCCGGATGTGGGGCCCTACAGGCAGCACTTGCTGCGGGGTCACCAGCCCACGCTGCTGGTCGGGTGCCGAGCAGGCGCCGGTGCCTGCGGCGCCCCACACCCCCGGAGAAATGGGGGTGAGGCCAGGCGTAGCGTCGGGAATCTGCCTGGAGGGAAGGCGAGCTCCAGCTGTCTGCGCTTCCACTTCCAAAGCGAGGGTTCAGGCTGCCAGGCCCCAGACGCTCACACTGATGGTTTATATGAGAGAGAGGCTGGGAGCCTGCGTGGGGTGGGCATCTTGGAGACGGGTTTTAAAATGGGACCGCCACAGAGGGGGTGGTGCGGGGTGGGGGGGTGTTGTGTTTCCTGCTTGCTATCCTCCTGCCATCTGACCAGGAGCAGTCCTGCTCTTCTCCCCCCTCCTGTTCCTTCCCTGAACCACAGACTCTGGGAGTTGGAAGAGGCCTAACGTTCAACAGGTGTGAAGCAAACCCCCCAGGGCTGTAGGTCTCTGTGGAACCAAGCTTAGCCGGGGTTTCGCCATTTTTTATATCCTCCACCTTGATATGTTAGTCCTTGCCCAGCCGCATTCCGGAGATAGTTTCAACAGTTACAACCCTCACTCCACTTGGTGACGAAAAAGCAGACCACCCCAGATGCCAATGAGGGCAGACCTATCCATAAATGGGACAGCATCTCTAACCATCCCATCAGTTTAAAACTGTAACCGCGCGCGCCAAAATCCTTTGTAGTAGCCAATGAGTATTTGCCAGCTTGTTTCAGAATTCACGCCTGCTTGTGACCCTATTTAAGACCCCTGCTTCCCCTGTTCTGGGCTCTGGGTATCTGCCACTGCGTTGGTAGGTGCCGCGAGCCCAGACTCGAGTCTGTAATAAACTTTTGTGTTTGCATCGGCTGTCTTTGGATTCTTGGCGTCTATGCTCTCTGAGTCTGCTGATCTTGGGCACAACAGTCTCCAGTTTTGGAACATATGGAAACCATTTGGAAGGAAAATGCAGGCTCCGGGGCCCTGCCCCTACTCCTTTCATTCGCTAAGTGTAGGATGAGGACTCAAGTCTGTAGTTTGCCATCTTTCATCAATTTCAGCTCAAAGTGGCCCCCCACCCCAATCACTTTCTATCCCCCCCCTTTTTTTAATTTGTTGATTACTTATTACTCTTCTTTACCCCAAATATCTGGGTTTCATAGTTCAGGGACAAAGGTCAGTGACAAACTTCCATGGAACTGAACCCAAAGAAATTCTTTATGTTCCAAAATCACTTTGCACTCGGAAAGATACCAGCCTCTTCTCAAAATCGTTCACGGAGTCCTAATTCAATGGAAATCTGCAGGTGCGTTTTTTTCTTAGCTCAGCCACAGCAAACTTAGGAAAGCTGCAGCCCCCAGGGATGTGAATGATCCAGCAACATGACCCAGAGGCTCCGGACCAGAAGGCTGTGTACCTGAGGTTTCGTCAAAGCACTGCAAGCCCTTGGGTCATGTCAAAAACGGGAAAAAGACTCCACGCAGGCTGCACATGCCAAATATCTGTAGTCACCCTCCCTCCACATGGCTGGGCCAGCCTACAACACCAAGTTAGGCCTAGCTCTCTCTCTACCCAAAGGGGAGAAGAGATCTTTGCTTTTTAATTTGCATTTTAAAAAGCAAAATCAGAGATATTTCCAAATTCAAGATAAATTCTCCACTTGAGAAAAAAATGCCTGTGGTTTCTGAGTGAAGGTTTTCTAGTTTTTACCATCTCAGTAGACTTAGGGCCCCAAGGAAGGCACCAGCACCATTTAAGTGATCTTTACCACCATTTCCACATTTGCCGGCACTCACCACTTGCCCAGCACTACTGAAAAGGCCTCCTTGTGTATAAGCTCACTTTCCCGTCACAACACCCTATGTGGTTGGTATGATTATTCTCGTTTCTCCTAAGAGGCCAGAGGTGGCCATGACCGTAGGAATCTGGGCTAGAATGTGAATCCAGGCAGTCTGGCTCCCCAGCCCAAGAAATCATCTCCATGTCCCCCTGTAGAGGCAGGAATGGACACAGGGCAGGTTTTCTATGATCCCATGCAGACGGGGTAAAGGAGGAATCAGAGTCCTCAGTGGTTTTGCAGGTTTTTATTGGGATTACCAGGTACACAGCAGGCAGGGGTGCTGGGGGGCTGGGAGGCTGGCAAGCCTCCCAGCCCCCAGCAAGGCTTCACTCTATCTGGGCTCTCCGGCATTCTCTGCTTCTCTCTCAGCTTCTGCTACTTCTTTCTCAGCTTCTCTTTCGGCTTCTGCTGCTTCTGGCGTCCCTGTGACGCCGCCCTTAAAAGCATAGTCTTAGCCCAGGTGAATCCCACCTACATATGTCCACACCCTACTCCAGGTGGCCGCCATCAGGCATGCCTTCAGGACCAAAGGGTTTCCTCATCTATCCTAATGGCGGGAGGGCAGAAAAGCCTGATACTTTGTACCTTACCCTACAAATGTGGACTCAAAGACTTTTCTCTTTTTACATCATCTCTCTTGCTCCTAAGACTTGCCAAATTTCTATGTGGTTTGGACCCATTCTTAGGGCCCTCTTGATCTGCCCTGGGTGCTGGAGCTAGTAAAAAGCATGGCAGGTTCTCAAGTGTCTGGAAGAGAGACAAAGAACCCTCTCCCCAAAGAAATGTGGGGGTTCTAATTCAGGGAACAGGCCCTCCTGCCTGATTCTGTGTCCCCATACTCTTCTCCTTTTATGAGCTTTATAGATTATAAGGGACTGAGTATGGTAGAATGGGGTGACCCTTGAGATGCAGAAGGGGATCACCCCTCAATCAAAAAAACCTCCCATTCTCTAGGAAGTGAGGAGGTCCTAAGCGGGGAACCGCTGGCTGCAGATGGGGTGCTAGAGCAGTAGCATCACTGTTCCCATCAGCAGTTTGGAAGTGTCAGCTGGTCACTCTGCAGTCTCCCAAGCCAGGTTTTTCCCCTTGTATAGGCAGGAGGGGACAGTGCAGATTCTCTATGGCCCGAGCAGACGAAGTAAAGGAAGAGGGAGAGTCCTGGAGGCCTCAGTGGCTTTTGCAGGCTTTTATTGGGATTTACCAGGTACACAGCAGGCAGGGGTGCTGGGGGGCTGGGAGGCTGCCAGGCCTCCCAGCCGCCAGCTAGTCTTCACTCTATCTGGGCTCTCCGGCATTCTCTGGTGATTTCTGCTGCTCTCGTGGTTCTGCGCTCTGCTCTCCCTCTGTTTCGTGGTTCTTGCGTTTGTTCTCTCTGTTCTATTCTCTTATGCTGGCGTCTCTCTAATGCCCTTATAACCCCAGTCTTAGCCCAGGTGAATCCCATCTACCTATGCCCACTCCCTACTCCAGGTGCCCGCCATCAGGCATGCCTTCAGGACCACAGGGATCCATCATCAATCCTAATGGAGGGAGGGCAGAAAAGCCTGATACTTTACTTACCCTACACCCCTCCAGCCCAAGTGAGGGCTCCCCTAGACTGAAAGTCTAACAGACTCACAAAAGGCTCTTCAAAAGCTACAGGAAACAACACATACATGAGGAAAACACAAATCCCATAAGCTAATGGACTTCCTGGAGTAGAGGTTCAGATGTTAATTACACATAGTGAATGGGAGTCTTTCCCACCCAAAGGACAGGAGGTCTCATACAAGGCCCAGATGTAGGCAATTCAGTCTGTCCTAGGGCACAGAGGCCTCCCTAACCACAAGATGAGAAGGACCTTCCTGCAAAACCCAAGGGCCTTCCTTAGCGCCTGGATGGTGTGGAAGGGCCTCGAGTGGGAAATGCTCAGGAGGGAGAGGGCTTCGGAGAGGCGCCACAAAGCAATCTCTCCTTTAATTTTTCTTTTGCTCTGGCAGCCCAGAGCAAATGCCCATTAATAGGCATTACCTGTCCATTTAAGACGCAGCAGCTGCATTATTAATGTTGTTTCAATAAGTCAATAGGAAAAAGGAAACTCCTCTCGGCGGGAGTATTTCTGAGTCCATCAGCAGCTCCTGAGACCTATCTTAATTGAAGGGTTGTTAACTCATTACAACTGGACCTGAGGAAGAACTATAATGAGGTTGCCAACACTTCCATAAGAGTCAAATGCTAATCCAGGCACTAAAAAGGAGTAAGATTCAAACTCAAGTCAATCAAATCCATAAAGCAGCAAGGTTCTAAGAGTACACCTCAGAGCAAAGTTCATTCTCTTCTCCCTCTCGCTCCCTGCAGTGCTTCCCCCAACAACCTTTGTGAAATTCCTCACAGCCATCTTCTCTCCCCTCTCAGGTTTACAGGACTAGAGCAGTAATGACACAATAAGCAGGAAATCCTCACAGTCACCATACACTACTGGCTTTTCAAAGCTCCTTGTACACAGATCTTCCATGGATTCTTATTCTTTATTGCAGTCACTGACCTCACTTGTCCCTCCAGCCTCACATGCCCCATTATGCACAAGGCTTCTGTCGAATCTTCTTACACGCTGTAGGGTAAAGAAAATATCAGGCTTTTCTGCCCTTCCGCCATCAGGATAGATGATGGATCCTTGTCCTGAA